GAAGTAAGTTGAGGTGTGACCTTCCTTCCTTGTGAGAAGGCAGCATCGCTGCAGATGCTGGTTGTCCGAGGGAAACACCTTACTGCTGTCACACCCCTCTGTAGTGAGCGGTACGACGTCGCCCTCAGACCTTGGGTAGCTGCTTTTAGTGTCATCGTTTTTCAATCGACCAGCCTGGCATGGTAGAACCTTCAGAATCATATGTTCCAGCCAGTGTAGCTCGATTGGGTCATCACGATAAGCAATCCTGACCATCACGCCGAGGTAGCAGCTACGCTTGAATCATATCTTCGAACCCTAGTCTTCTCCACTACTGGTAGTACTTCTATTATCAATGCCACTATTGGATTTGAACTGAAAGTTGCTCCTCTGTGCTTATGTGCTATGTCAACCTGAACTGATGTACTTACGTACAAAGTTCTACGTTGAAACTGAAATAACTGCAGGCTACTGTAGAGACGTAACTAATGCCATCAAATTGACAGAACGCTCAAACGTCTACGTTTCGGTCATCAGGTTCATGTAGTCCCTTGAGTTATTTATTTGCTAAAATGGACTGTCGTGGATCAAAGATTTGTAGGATTCAGAGAACCAGCTGGCATAAGTGGAACACTTTGAAAGGCAGTTGGTGGCCTTAATTTCTACCAGCATTCATTTTCCTTTTCTAGTTGGCTATCAACTAGTTTTGAACCTTTCTCGGCTTGACATTTGCATGTAGTCAGCTAACCCCTAACAATTCGTTGGCGACCGGAAAGCAAAGACCATAATCAAAAGCCAGATAGATACTCCAAAAGAAACGCCAATATTGGATACAACCAAAACATCGTTAACCAGTGGAATGTGATCAATTTTAGTACAGAGACGCAGATATCAAATCAAATCACATAGTGCTAAAGATAGTAGAGGTATTAATGGTAATGAAGAAGACTAGGGTTTGAAGATATTATTCAAGAAGTTTAATTCAGTGAGATAAGGTTAGAAAGACAAAGGTAGAGGTGCTGACGAATCCAGAAGATTAGGATTTGAGAGAGCTCAAAGGATGGATGCACTTGAGTCATGTTGTTCGAGGTCTCTAACCATTGATGACTTTCGTCTCGTGGACCCTAACCATGTAGTCTACATCTACCAACATGACTCAGTCCACCTGTCAGCGACTTCATGGATTTGTGCTATGTCTTGGTCTGGCCGACCCTAGCTTTCTTCCAACCTACTCCCACGCCACAAAACATAGCTCGTCCAGGCAGTCGGTGGTTAGGCATACGTAACATATGTCCCAACCACCTCAACTGATGAAGTTTCATTACTTCATCTATTGATCTGCGATTCTTACCTAGTACTCGTTTCCTAACGACAGCATTGCTTACTCGGCTGTCCCAGGATATACGAGCAATGCTTCGAAGACACCTATGATCGAAAACCAGTAACCTACAAATATCTTCTACTCTCACTGGCCATGTTTCGCAGCCATATAGTAGAACGGAGCGAACCACTGCATAGTAAACCCGTCCTTTGGGTAACATGCACCATTAGCTAGGACATTAGAACCTCGTGCCGTCGATGTGTGCTGCGTCTCGGAAACGCGCATACAGGATCCGAGTAGCATCATTCAAATGACCTCGTCACGTCAAGATAAAGCAACTCGACTTACCCTTCGTGTCTCCGGTAGCCCTGATGCTGCCTCTGGGGGTCTCGCTGGTGTAGGTATGACATTGAGTCGTAGAGCTGAACTAGCGCTCCTAGACTGGATCCCAGTAGATAGTCGATTGTGCGCTGTCCGACTGAACGGGACAGTAAGGACTCGTAAGGATAGGGACACTCGCCGTTGCCTCTTCGTCATATCTGCAAACGCTACCACTGACTGCAGTTCAGAAAGACGAGTTCCAAAGAAAGCTTTCGGACCTCCTCCAAAAATCAAGGCGCCCTGATATAGTAATTGTGGCTGATGACTCTAATGCTCAAGTAGGTATACTAAGTGGGAAGGAAAGACACCTAGGTGGATCTTATGGTGTCACGGCTCAGAGAACAGATAATGGTGACCGTCTGTTGCAGCTGTGCTCAGATAACCGCCTATTCTTAGCGAACACCAACTTTAGGCATAAGGATAAGCATCTGTTGACAGGGCGACCTCCAAAGTCGTCTCAACGTTGGACTCAACTAGATCACATCGCCATCAGCCACCGATGGAGAGGCTCGATAGAGGACTGTCGCTCGTTCTGGGGCACCTGTTTAGATTCAGATCATGCTCTAGTGCAAGCGCATATCTGCTTGAGGCTTACTGGACGTAGGAAAGACACCATAAGAAAGCCTCTTAGGGTTTTACCTAATGATAATCAAGCTAAGAAAATATTTCAGTAGGAACTAGAAAAACAGTTCGGGCAACCATGTAAGTGATTCCCATCCAGAGGCAGGTTGGAATGAAATCAAAAAGGCTGTGCAAACAGCAGTGATATCTGCTAGTAAGGTTGACTATAAGGCTAGAATGAAGCCGTGGATCTCAGTAGCATCCACCGAACTGATGGATGCCCGAAAACTCATCCCACCTGGCTCTGAACATGATGACGAACGAAGTAAGCTTAAACGCTGGCTGATAAAAAGCCTACACAACGACCGTGAACAGTGGTGGGTGGCGATAGGCAACAGTAGACAACTTTTCCGACGTATCAAGGAAACTGGTATTAGGAATCCTAGTGTAAGTGAGACTATCTCGGAAAAGGATGGTCTCATTATCCATTCTCAATCCAGGAAACTGGATCGATGGGCAGAACACTTCAGGGATCAGTTCAACTGGCCTCGAGCCACTCTTCGGTTGCCCACGACCTCCAGTCATCCTGAATTGCAAACCGACGTGAGTCCGCTTAGTCTTTATGAAGTTGAGAAAACGTTAGTAAATCTGAAGCGAGGGCGAGCTGCAGCTCCTGATAGACTGACCCCTGAGATATTTAAGGATGATGGTCCAGTTTTAGCAGTTGGGTTGACTGAGATCTTAGGTAGAATCTGTGAACTGGACGTAATCCCATCCGACTGGTCTCAATCCCTGATAAGAAAAGACAAAAGTCTTCTTGTGACAATCACAGGGGAATAAGTCTAACAAATACAGTTTCTAAATTGTTAGCCTCGATTACACTTAGACGCCTTACTAGTGCTCGTGCAGAGCGGACTATAGAAAACCAGTCTGGTTTCAGACCTTGACGTGGTTGTATAGACCAGATATTCACACTACGACAGGTCCTGGAACACAGACACACATTTATGCGTCCTACAATAGTTGTCTTCCTGGACCTAAAAGCGGCATTTGACTCGGTAGATCGTGAGGTTCTGTGGCAGTGTCTGTCATTGAAAGGTGTACCAAAGAAGTACATTAACCTTATACAAGCTCTCTTCCCTAAACTACTGGTCGAGTGAGAGCTTATGGCGAACTGTCATTGGAATTCCTCACTTCAAGTGGTGTCCGTCAGGGATGTCCACTATCTCCATTCTTATTTAATTTTATCATAGACATGCTCCTAGATGTAACCTTATCCTCGTCTGAATTTTGAGGAGGAGACCTTTTACCTGCTGGCTCGCTTGTTGGTTGCTGGTTTTCGATCATAGGTGTCTTCAAAGCATTGCTCGTAAATCCTGGGACACTCGAGTGAGCAGATCTGTTATTAGGGGACGGATCTTAGGTGAGAACGGCCGATCAATAGATGAAGTAATGAAACTTCATCAGTTGAGGTGGTTGGGACATATGTTACGTATGCCTAACCACCGACTGCCTGGACGAGCTATGTTTTGTGGCGTGGGAGTAGGTTGGAAGAAAGCTAGGGTCGGCCAGACCAAGACATAGCACAAATCCATGAATTCGCTGACAGGTGGACTGAGTCATGTTGGTAGATGTTGGCTACATGGTTGGGGTCCGCGAGACGAAAGTCACCGATGGTTAGAGACCTTGAACGACATGGCTCAAAATCGTTTGCATTGGCGCATGTGCATACACTCTTTGTGTTCTATGAAATTCTCAGTTTCTGCTTTCCTCATCATCTCTGTCTTTCAATTTCTAAATTTATCTTACTGAATTATACTTCTCGAATCATTGTTTTCGCTCCCTAATATTCTCCATTACTGCTAATACTTCTATTATTGCTATCACTCTTGGATTCGAATTGACAGTTGCGTCTCTGTGCTGATGGGGCATGGCACGGCAACCTGAACTGATGTACTTTCGTACGAAGTTCTGCGTTGCATCTGTCTGTCCTACGCCCCACTGACTGCACCTCGGACGATATAAAATATGAGTTTTACAGAAACCTTCGAAAAGTTAACCGCTGTGATACAGTAATTATAGCGGATGACTTTAATGCTCAAGTAGGAAGACTAAGTAAAAAGGAAAGGCACCTAGGCGGATCTAATGGTGTTATGGCTTGAAGAGCAGATATTGGTAAACGTCCGCTGCAGTTATGCTCAGAAAATCGCCTATTTCTAGCGAACATTAACTTAAAGCACAAGAAGAGACATCTGACGACATGACAACCCCTAAAGACGACTCAACGACAAACCCAACTAGACCAAATTGCTATCACCCATCGAATGAAGTGTTACGGACTTAGTTATTACTATAGTCATTGGATACTTCTATCTAATCGATACTAGTTCCACTCTCTGGAACAGTGTGGTATGAGAATGTTGATTCGATGCACATATTTACCAGTATGTCTACCGAATTATTGCCTATCAAATAATATCGATTGCACTGAATGTAAGAAAAATTAGAAAAATCTATGGTTTTGTGGTTTTCACTAGTGAAGTTGTATCCTGTACTTTTGTATGACTCACAGATATCGAAAAGTGTTCTTTGTGTTAAACGTGCTAACTGTTAAATTTATTCGATTGTGCTTAATCTAGACACGTATTCATTATTCTTTTTTTTGCAAAACGAATTAAAGGTCAATTTATACACATACGTATATTCTCATCGGTATGACAAATGTTAGGATTGTAATCTTGTAATTTTAAACTTTCAGCTTGGAGATGATATGGTTTATCTTCATCAACTTTCACAACATCTGCTGACTATGTTGGATCAGGTCATTCGTTACGTCGAAAATGTTATCGACGACAAATGTCCAGCCGACCCGAAAATCGGAAGGTCTATAGCACAATTAATTTTCTCAATCCCTAAGTTGGACCCAGATCATTTGGAGCAATTAATTAACTCAAGTTACAAAGATTTACTGATGGTTACTTATCTGACGAATCTTATCCGAACACATCTAAAGATTTTAAATTTGGCTCAGTAACAATTCACGCCGCAGGTAAATGGTCATGTTGAGCAAATTATGCAGCTGTAAATGCTTAAAACTGACGGACAAGTATAAATTCTTGCTTTTTTTCTCAGTGAAAAAATATATGCGTTATATTTCCTGGAAATCTGGTATTTTAGTATAATGTTGCGTTGTATATTATAGATAAGTTGTTTCTTTCCAGTAATAAGTTATATTTTAATAGATTACTTTAGGTTTAATAGCATCGTTTAACTGTCCGGTAGCAGTCTTCGGGCAAAAATTGAAGTACATTTAAACTTCTATTAGCGATCACATCGGTGTGAGTAATCAGTAACCGTTCATCTAAGTATTAATATCCCAGTTTATTAGTGTTATATGCAGTTAGCGGCGTACGTCTCCGAATTTTCTTATGAAGTGATTTCTATTGGCTATTTAACTGATGTGCTGCTGTGATTAATATGAAGTGTAAGCATATCGGTCGAAAAATATTCTGTTCTAACATTAAAACGCGCTTCATGCGATAACACTTTAGTCGGGTGAGGTAACTTAAAATGAAACACAAATGTTCCCATGTCCAACTTGTCACACATATCAAGAAAAAGAGAGGAAGTTAACAAAACAGAAATTAAGTTAACCGATAATAGTTATATATTTGAAAGTCTAAACATTAAGAATGAGATGCAAAAAATGAATAAAATTAAGGAATTTCATAATAAAAATTTACTAAAAAGAGAAAACTATACAGGTGCGCCACGATAAGTATTTTTAATGCATCCAGGCTCTCCGGCAATGAAACGAATTATTTCGTGTATAATAATGGAGTTGTTTACCCGTAGCATGCTTCGTATCAATAGTAGATGACTCCATGCACTTATATGTTTTTGTAACTCGATTTCGAACCTGTTTAATTCTCCTTTGTTTTGGGGTTACAGTTGGTATATATCTTTGCGTATTTTAAAACTATTTTCGGGCTTTGTTTCACTTTGCAGCTCATATGTGCTCATATTTTGGTGCCTTTTTGTCTCAGGATAAATAAGCTCGGAAATATTCCCTGATAGAGTGCCTGTGGTATGACAGATTGCTTCTCAAGAAAAATCATGTGCAATTACAAAGTGGCTCTCATGTAAAGGCTTGGGGTTTATACATTATTATTGCACAAATTTTCAAATATGGTTGCATAACCCTCTGCATGAAAACCATTTAGAGAACTATTCTCAGGATGTTTAATCATATGTCGAAACTTTTACAAAGTTATTTGATGGTGGGTTTGCGCTGATCAAAACATGACTTTTGAATGTAATTCAACTATTGTGCGAGCTACTTATCAGACACATGAATACCTAACTGATCTTTTGTCCTGTTCAAGGTGTTACAATTGCGTAAAATAAATCGAATTCCGTTTTTACTGAAAGGTTTAGAAAATGAAATGGATAAATGGAGTATTTGAAACGTTATTGTTAAGTAGTTATTCTTGTTTAAAGCTTTCTTTTTGAGTGTTCAAAGCTAACCACCGACCGTTAAAATTCTGTTCCTCGTCATTAAAGAATACGCAAAGGCATTTTTTACAAATGTTAGAAATAAGAGTAAAGTCGCGACACAGTGTTATACACGTTGAAATATCAGTTATCAGAGCTGATTGTTCGGTGCACAAAAATGTACAGAATTGTTGAAGTGTACCTACCACTAAAGATTATGAAAATACTAAAACAAGTTCTGAATAGTAGAGTAGTCTCCTAAAAGTTCGTAAATTAAATAATTTTAAACATATTCCGTTTCAGTTATTTTTTGGATGAGTTATCTAACACAAGTCTTACTTTAATGATTCAGATGATAAGTTTCATTTTTTTGCTTATTCAAGTCTGTAGGCGTTTAAAAAAATTATTACCATCTGAAAATGTATGGTTAACCTAGAAGTTGAACCAAAATTGGATAAACACAATTGAATCTTGATGTCATTACTCCGAAACCAAATGTTAAAAATATTTCAAGCACGTAACTACTACCTTAAGCTGGTGGTCAGAGTTGCTTAGCTTGAGTAAATAAAACTTAATTCACCACAACATCTATTCCCGACCAAAGCTGATATCTTGACGTGGTGGTTGGGATACCCGTCGTGATGACCCAATTAAACTTAATTGACGGAAGTGTTACGGACATGTGTTATGTATGTCGATTAACTGCCTATTTCAACAGTCTGTCTTGTATGAAAGGTTTAGAGACAGACAGGAGTGTCAGAAATAAAACATACCAACGTCTGGTATTTAAAGGGTGCTCCGCCATTCTGGAATATGTATACAGTTGTTTATATCTTTGAAAGGATTCATATCACATAATTGACAATTACCTGAAGGCAAGTCTACTTGCCGTGGAGTCCTGTATATTTCGCAGATTGTTCAAAGGCCCGACCGGTCGAAGATGTATTGTTCATATCTTCACTCTTCTCCCTACATATTCTATGCGATAAATCCTTATATCTTGACGTCAAGAACAGCGAGTCAGATTCTTACAACGTAGGACTTAGTACGTATGTACATCAGTTCAAGTTGCCATACCCATTACTAGTTATTCAGCTACAGAGAAGCGATTATCAATTGAAATACCATATTAGCAGCGGTAATACAATTATAAGCAATAATACAGATTAGGGTTCGAAGATATTATTCAAGAAGTATAATCCAGTGAAATAAATTTGAGAATAGGAAGATGAAAATCACGAGGAATTCAGATTATAAGTTGAGAGAACGCAAAGTGTGGATGCGCCTGCACCATTGCAAACAGTTTTGGGCCATGTCATTCAAAGTCTTTAACCATCAATTACTATCATTTCGCTGACCCAAACTAGGTGGTCTATATCTAATAACAAGGCACAGTCCACTTGTCAGTGACTTAATGGATTCGGTCTGGCCCCCTTGCTTTCCTCAGCCTATTCCCACACACAAAACATCGCTCTAGTCGATGTTTGGGTACACCTAATACATGTTTCAACCATCTGAACCGATTCCGTTCTCATCTAGTATCCTTTTCCCAACAGTAGCATTGATTACTCGATGGGTCCAGAATACATGATCAATGCTTTAAAGACACCTATAATACTAATAGCCAATGAATAACTTCTACTCTTACTAGCCATGTTACGCACCCGTACAGTAGGACATGTAGGACTGCTGCGCAATAGTCCCGTCCTTTGGTTAGCGGAGGGATATCTCACCAACGTACCAAATGACATAGGTTGGCAAAAGCCAGTCGTGTTCTGTATTTGTGCTGAGATCTTTTCACACATCATCAGCACTGATGAAACTCCTGATATCAGTGGGGCGGTCGACAGGCTCAATCGCTAGTTCAATGACTAAGTTTAATAAGAATGGACAGCCCTGACGGATCAGCTCCGAATGCAGTTCGCCATAAGATCTTACTCTCAGTGCAATTTATGAGTACAGAGCCTTCATAAGGTTAATTTAATTCGTTGGAACACCAATTAACGACAAACACTGCCTCAGTAACTCACGATAAACAGCGCTAAATGCCGCCTTAAATTCAAGAAATGCAACTATTGTAGGACGCCTAAATGTGTCTCTGTTCTGGGACTTGACGTAGTGTGAATATCTGACCTATGCATCAGGTTGAGGATGTTATGAAACATTTTTGATAACTGATAATCTACAAAGGATTGTTGACAGTCAGTGGCAACAATATATAAGTAATGTGTAAGTTTAGGAACCTGTGTTCGGACAGACGAAAATTCAGTCAGTGTCGCCATTTCGAAACATCAACTTCAGTGGCCTAGACATCTGCGTATTTCGTTCCACGGAACTCCATACTGTGGGTTATTCGACAACGCTAGGACTGGTTGGAAAAAGCGGAAAAGTGATAGTTGTATGATGGTATGGTACCTCAGTTCGAAAAAGGAGCATTTGTTGAGGTCCAAGAGATAGTGCAACTCAGTAGCTTGAGACGTTATCAAGCGTGACTAGGAACAGAAGCTAGTGGTGGCCATGCTGCAATATTTTTTTGCCTTTTCATTATACGTGAAATGAACTTTCTAGTTGCATTCTCAACCGAATGGCCTGTGTCATTATTCGTACTCCCATGCAATGTATATATAATATCTGCAGTCATTAACTGGAGTTTGTTTTCTATTGCTGAGATACATTCACTTCTGATGTTCCTCCAAAATCACCTTCAACATATCCTTTCGATCGCTTCATTCAATGCTCCTTCTATCTCGTTATCGGTACTACTTAACTCATTTTTTTTGGGCACGTATGCTTTAGTATATTCGTGCCACGATGTGTGAGTGATGAATGAATACATGAACGTTAAGCCAGTAATCACATCCATTAAAATTTCCAACCGAGAATACTAGCTTAAATAATTTCGAAATAAAGTTCTTATAGTGTCGACAGTTATGAAGACTTGTCCTCTGAGAAATCGACTACATTCATTGGGACGGCTTTTGAATTTTGTTACTTTGAATTTTTAAAAGTATGTGTGTTACGTTGGACTTTGCTTCTAAGAGCGATGAAGTTCGGAGACTTAGTAAATTACTGTAAAGTATGCTCTCTGTTATTGCCTTAACGAAAGTACTGATTACTAAAAGGACTTTATCAAGAAACAGTAAATGACGATGAATAATAATGGCTCAAATGGGGTTTAGTTCAGAAGAAAGCATATAAACTTGGCAGACATTTATTTATTGTAATATGTTATCAAATATGTGCACCAACATTCTTAAAGATAGATTTTTCTGAATCAGAAGCTTGTCAGTGATAAACTTACGTCCAGAATAATGAAGTCTGATTATTTTAATTAGAAAAAAGATTCTGACTATAAAATTAAGAACCTATATAAATAGCAGTCAAATCATAAATTGGTAACCATCTAGTTTGATGAGATGCCAAAACGTAGTTTCTCCGTTTATATTCTAATCCTAAAATCCATTTGGTAGTCTATTAAGACAAATATTATGTGCTCACGGTATCGCCAATGTATTTCGAAAAAACGATTAGTCCATGAAACTTGATAATCTGTGTCATCTATCGCAGTAGTAATGATGATAAAGCTAAATATATTAGAACAAAAAGACTGAAAAAATTGAAAGCATTCTCAGAATGCGATTGTATATAAGTTTGCAGAATACACTGGTCATGATTGTTCATAATAACGAAGAAATCTGTATTAAGAATAAAACCTTGTTTTAAAATAGTGCAAGGTGGATACTTCTATACACTGACAATTGTATACAGGAAGCATAATTCATCGGAACAGTCTTGAAAATGAGTCAAGCGCATGTACGATTGTTGAGCTTCGAGATGAACTGTAAAAGAAAAGACGAAATTGTAAGTGTTCATTTATTGCTAATACATATGTATAAGAGCTCGGAAATCTACGAACAAGTTCAAATATGTGCAGAGACGACGTTCACCTAAATATTATTGATATACTCAAAATGTTAAGAAATAATCAAAAATGACACGAAAATCCTGAAAAGTTGTTTAGTGATTTTGTCAGTCAGGTCAAGGATAAATATACATAAGTGAAGTAAGTGAAATTAACAACTTTTTGAAGGGCACTGAAAGTTCAATATTCATGATTGTTACTAAATTATCTGGTGTAGTAAAACAATTTTTCGTTCAATAAATCAACATTGTAAAAGAAATTAACACCAGAATAGTAGTATTTAGTGATAGAGCATAAATATTTAAAGTTTTCTTATCCAACTTCAATACAACTAAACTGTAAAATATGACAATCAGTTTATATCAATCGTAATTTTGTTTCGCATTAGTAAGTTTGAATTTCGAGTCCTTGAAGTGACACCTATTCATGCTGAGAAATCTTGGCATTACTTTTAAAAACTAATCAAGTTTAACGAAATATATCGGTGGTAATAAAAAACCTTAGGGATCGAAGATATGACCTAAAAAGTACAACCTAATAGAATACATTTAGAAATAGAAAACAGTCATGAACGGAACACAAAGAATGGATGCCATTCTACCTACGCCATTTCGAACAATTTTGGGCCATGTTATCTCAACTCTAACCATCGGCTATAATTGTCTCGCTGACTACAACCACGTGGTCTACACCGCCGTTCGGTTTTCACTTACTTCGTAGATGTGCGCCATGTATAGGTTTGGCTGCTCCTAGTGTATACCGCGTCCGGGTTTGAAATTAGACTGGTTTTCTCTAGCTTGCAATTGACGAGCTCTAATTAGGCATCGAAGCATTATTGGAGCTAATACTTTAGACACTACATTAGTTCAACTGTTTCTCCTGGGATTGCTACAAGTGGACTTTCGTCCTTTTGGTATACGGAGAATACCAACCTTAGTTTGTAGCTGATGTAGGATAAGACTGCTACTCCTTTCAATATAGTACACCACCAAAAGTGTGACCTTTTAGAACTAGTGTATACTTGCAACTACGTGAATATTGCTAACATTAAGAAAAACATAATTCATAATCATCTCTCCCGAATTCCAAAAGGAAAAAATGAATGCTATGTTTGGTTTGAGGTAATGAAGAACTAAAGTTTAAAAAGTTTTTGTAGCAGCATACAATGAAAACTCTGTGTGTGCAAATAGAAACCATTTCATCACCTACCGTTGTTGACTTGGATCGTTAATTGACGAGCATACAAACTAAAGGACACAATTATTTTGCGAACCACATTTTTCACACAAACTTATGGATGGATATATATAATAACATGTTTCATTATATATTTGTGCTGATGTTGTATGGCAATTTAAACTGATATACTTACGTGCAAAGTTCTACGTTGCTAATGATGATGAGAATGTTATAAATTACTAAGGAGATCAACTAGATTCTCGACTTAGGTGTTTCAAACTAAATGTATGACATAAAGTGACTAGTGAATTATTACTAGATTCCAAAATGTAGCGTACTTGATAAAAACACATACTTCAGTGAAAAGTTAAAAATGATCATGTCTCAATGGTCGCTGAGGCAAAGATACAGAGGGAAAATTGTACAGATTTTATTATCCCCTTTAATGAAGGCCGTTATAAGTGATCATCTTGCAAATCACCTTTTCGATGGTCACCCTTACTGATGTGTGCTTTTTTCACGTCAAAAGCACAACACAGTAGAATGTATATCATGAACATGAATATCACGAATCTTATTTTTCTTTGCCAACGGTCAAACTGATTATGGAATTTCGTAGACATTTTATGAAATAAAATTATTGGACAGCTAGTTCCCAAAGCCATCTTGGTTGGTTTAGAAGTCCATTATTAACTCGGATGACATGTTAAACAGTTGGTTGTATTACGGTACTAAATCAGATTGGGAAATTCGATATCAAATCCCAGTATCGAATTATCTGGCGTTACTTAATATAAACAGCACAACGCTAAGAATGCTAGTAATCAACTCCGATTCTCATATTATTCAGTAATTATAAAACCATTTCTTGTATTACTGTGTTTAGTAAACAATTATTTCAAATATACTTTCTCGAAAAACAAGAATTTTAGACTGTAGAAATCTAGAAATGTAAGGACATTCAGTCGAACTTTTTCATTATCAATGAGTGGTAATTTAACAATAAAGTGGGTTGTATTATTGTGCCATCCTAAGCAGTATGAAACTGATAAAGTATTCATTTCCATTGCCATCATCTTGCAGCAAACAGGTAATTTCACTAGGTACCGACTACCGTATATTGGTTAGATTAGTTGAATTCACCGAAGTTTACATAGTCTCTACTATTTTAGTACGTTCTTTGCATTGGCCAATAAGTAGGTGAGTGGATATTCAAAAGCTGTGCATAGTAGTAATAATGGAGGTTCAATTACATAAAGAAGTTATGCACTGATAGTACAAAATAGATTCAGCAGTATATGTGAAAATTAGGCGGAATTTGAATACATTTCGCTTAAAGTAAAATCAACTAACATGAAAATATTTTATTGCTCACACATATAAGTATGATCATTCTTTGAAACAATATGTTCATATTTATATAAAAATTGAGTTCAATTGTACTAATTCTACTGTCGACTTGTTCATTTAGTTGATAAAATGAAAACGATTATTATATCTTCTAAAGTAACAAAATATTGTAACGTAAGTATTAAATAGTTAGAAAATTTTCAATTTTCTATGATTATAGAAGCGTGGCATCACCGATCGAATGAATAATGATGTCCTCGAAATTAAACACTTATATTAGCGAGCACGGTGAATACATCAAAAAAATTTAGTTCACTTAGTAATGAAATAGAAAACACTCAACATTTTAAATACACGAATGATAACAGTCAACAGTCGAAAATATTTGTTTCAACTTTATAAGTACTTCATTACACTAAGCATGATGATAGAGAATAGTTAGTAGACAAAATGCAAACTGAAACAACCAGCACTTAAAATTTTTTACAAGAGCAGACTCACTTCATGACAACATCTTGAAAATCGGTAATTTGATCTTGTGTGGCTTGAACCAAACCATCAGTACGTATAATCGACAAGTTAGCTACTGCATTCTTTAGCCAGTTAAGAAACATCTATATATGGCGATATGGAAACATAGGACTGGAATCAGAAATCTTTAATTGTGATCAATTTTTAAGAAGCAACACATTCTCGAATTGGTGTTCAACTGAAAGCGTATAATTTGAAAGCCAAAATATGTACTTTAGCCATAAATTTATAGTGTGTAACATAAATTTCCCATTAGTATATCTAAGCAGTCGGTCGTTTGCTGATCACATACCCTTGTATGTATTTACTTACTTTAGTTTTCTTTACTGCTGTTAGAAGTAGCTTACATAATCATCTAATAAGTAACCTGGAATAATATCGTGGAACATTTACTACTACTAATATTGAAGTAATCCGTGGTAATTACACACAATAAAGGGAATAGAAACGTGAAAAAGTTTAAAACGCCTAACATTTCAAGATACTGATTCAATTTACAAAAATAATGCAATGTAATTAAAACACTTTATGAATAGTGCACCACAAACAAATGCTCACCTCATGATTAATAACAACCTTAAGATGATATAAGATATCTGCCATCTCCGAAAATCGTTCGTCCATTAATCCAAGACAACATGCTTGCAGTAAGGCTGACACTAACCGTTGTCCGCCACAACAACCATTCATATTACTAGAGTCACTAGGTTGTGTGGGTCTGGAGTAAGTTAACCACACAATAACATTCTGAGCAGCTAAAGCTGATTGACAAGACGGAGTAGGTAGTTGTCTACCAGAATCTAAAGTCTGTAAAACCTGCATTGGCGTCTCCTCGCAGGCCTCATTGGTAAAAATAATAAGTTCGATGAAAAATCGAGCAGCTGCCGCTGATGCACTGGTAGAAGCTGACGATGAATTTGACTCATCATTATTAAATGAGTTTGGGTCCGGTGTATCATCACCAGACGAACCAGCACCAGGACCAGCACAGCAGATATTTAAAGAAGAGACAGCAGTATCGCAGAGTTCGTTTAGATTTATTCTGTTGCTAGTGAGAAAGACAGCTGCACAGTGTTGTACAAGTCGGGTGCACAACCGAAACAGATCTTCCACAGTATGTGGTTGCTGTATGAGTCCAGAACCAGAGATAGACTTCAAAGTTGGAGCACTCAATGCCTAAAAATATTGGATGTTGTAAAAAAAACTTGAAACTTCAAGATAACAAAGTAATAAATGGGTATAAACATCAATAGACATATATCATACAAATAAATTAGCTCTTACATAAATGTCACATTCATTGTAAGTATGTATAACAATAATCTAGGCAAATCAAATTATGTCGTAATACAAATGTGATTTCTTCGAAAGTAAATAAGAGCAGGTAGTCTCGTAAAATGTTCATAAACATATTTGTTTGAAAACGCTTTCACGACTGATGATAACGACTAAAGTGATCCATCTTTTTAAAATAAAGAAATTAAAATGAAACCAAATTAGCGATACTCAAACAACTCCGCTCTAAATTATATGTTGGAGCCTTCATTATTCGGACGTTGTGTCAAATCGGATAACAGAGTGCCTAAGATAAGATTTTAGAATCTCGCACCAATGATGTGTGATCGGCTCCGAAATATACATACATGATTTGACAATAGTCATCCTTTTGACCTCGCCTTGTCAGAATAAAAAGGCAGTATGATTCACGCTTGAATATGTGAAGGCCCCATCGCTACTAACAGTAGCTTCGTTAATGTAGACATAACATTGATTTCAAAAGCAGAACTAGCTCTCCTAGACTTGGTGCCAGTAAACAGTCACTTGTGCATTGTCTGGCTAAACGCGACAGTAAGAACTCGGGAATTTAGGGACATAAGTCCTTGTATATGGGTGGTCTCCGCGTACGCTCCCACTGACTACAGCACAGATGAGGTAAAAGATGAATTTTACAGGAGGCTCGTCGAGGCAGTTGATTATTAGGCATACGTAGCACATATCCCAATCACCTCAACTGATGAAATTTAAATACTTCATCTATTGATTTGCCGCCCCTACATACTGCTCGTTTCCTAATTACAGCATTGCTCATTCGGTTACCCCAGGATTCACGAGCAATGCTCCAAAGATATCTATAATCGAATACTAATAACCGAAGAATATCCTCAACTATTGCCTGCCATGTTTCACAGCCATATAGTAGGATGGCGCCAACTACTGCGCAGTACACTCGTCCTTTGTTTGCTTGATGGCTATCTTGCCTACGCCATAAATGACGCCAGTTGGCAATAGCCAATCAAGCCATATGTATCCGTGCTGACATTTCAGCACAAACCAGTCCAACATTCCACGCTACTTCACGGTGGGAATCACCTACCTAATCTGTCAATAAATAGTACTCTAATAGGTTTACTTGCCGTGTTTTAAAACGTCCTGTAAGCCACAAAGAAATACGCGCTAGCATTAGAGCATGATCTGAATCTAAACAGGTGCCCTAGAACGAGCGACAGTCCTCTATCGAACCTCTCCATCGGTGGCTGATGACGATGTGATCTAGTTGCGTCCAACGTTGAGACAACTTCCAGGATCGTCAGGTCAAAAGATGTTTTTCCTCGTGCTTAAAATTAGTGTTTGCTAAGAATAGGCGGTTGTCTGAGCATGCATGCAACAGACGGTCACCGTAGTCTGTTCTCTGAGCCGCGACACCATAACATCCACCTAGATGTCTTTCATTTTCACTTATTCTACCTACTTGATCATTAAAGTCACCAGCCATTATTACTATATCAGAGCGCCTAGCTTTTTGGAGGAGGTCCGAAAGCTTTCTGTAAAACTCATCTTTAACCTCGTCTGAAATGCAGTCAGTGGGGGCATAGGCAGATACGATGAAGAGGCAACGGCGAGTGTCCCTATCCTTACGAGTCCTTACTGTCCCGTTTAGTCGGACAGCGCACAATCGACTATCTACAGGGATCCAGTCTAGGAGCGCTAGTTCTGCCACACGACTGAATGCTATACCTAAACCATCTGCTTCTTTGTTTTAGTAAGGTGGGATCAAATAAATGATTTTACTAGGATCATTTATGCGCGTTTCCGAGACGCAGCATACATCTATGGCGCGAGATTCTAAAGTCCTAATGAAGGAAACCTGTTGTCCTATTTGACACAATGTCCGTACACTCAAAGCTCCAACAAATAGTCTAGAGCGGGGTTTCAGAAGACCAGAAACAACTTTTCGGGAACTCAAATCGTTTGCATCAGAGACGCCGGGTGATAAAGGAATGTGAGAAGGGTTAGTCGTGGAGATAAAAGAGATATTAGGGGGTGTAGGAAGGATTTGATTGTGATCGATTCAGTCTCCTGTGCTGTTACGGGTATGAGGGCGGATGTCACTTCCCGGCTGACACACTATGGGAGGGTGTTTATTAAGTAACTGCTGGAGACGGAAATCCGCGAGGTCTGACTTTTTTAGCGTCAACCTTTACCTATCTCTTTTTTCCTTCTGAGAAAGCAGCACCGTTGCAGATGCTGGTTGTCCGAGGGAAACACCTTACTGCTATCACACCCCTTTGCAGTCAGCAGTACTCCGCCCTCAGATCTTGAGTAGCTGCTTTTAGTCTCATCGTTCTCCAATCGACCTGCCTGGCATGGTAGAACCTTCAGGAACATAGGTTCCAGCCGATATAGCTCGGCTGGGTCATCAAGATATGCGATCCTGACAACCACGTCAAGGTAGCAGCCACGGTCGTTTCCAAAATCATGCCAAGGACACGTTTTAAAAAGAATGGTGAAAGTAGAGAACCCTGAGGAACACTCCTCGAGGTATTCTATACAGATGAAAATTCGCTAATAGCTTTGAATCAAGCTGTAGTGTTCATAACGTAGCGAAATGAAACAAAGTACATAGAGATTAAAGATCAATATTTCTAAAAGCAATTCATATAATAACAATCGGAAATAGGGTTTTAAACTACAAGATAATACACCTTAGTTATCCACAACGGAAATTACTAAGTTACTTGAGAAAATTATTTTTAATATCGGAGAACGTACGTACGACAAAGACAGAACGACATTACGTAATTCGTGCAAGTCCACGTTTACGAAAAAAGTTGTAAATTTGGGAGAAATTGATATAGACTTAATATGAGATATCCAGTGTGGGAAGATGTGCATTACGCTGATCGGTTTTTAGTTACGAAATAAATTATCGTATAAGTTCGGTAAACTTGATTAGTTTTTAAAAGTAATGCCAAGATTTCTCAGCATGAATAGGTGTCACTTCAAGGACTCGAAATTCAAACTTACTAATGCGAAACAAAATTACGATTGATATAAACTGATTGTCATATTTTACAGTTTAGTTGTATTGAAGTTGGATAAGAAAACTTTAAATATTTATGCTCTATCACTAAATACTACTATTCTGGTGTTAATTTCTTTTACAATGTTGATTTATTGAACGAAAAATTGTTTTACTACGCCTTTTGGAAATAGAAGTTACCAATGTAGGTTATTTAAAAATTCTGAATTTAAAATTTACCTCGTACACATTGACCAAACCAACCCTGCAATCTAACTGTTCCCCAAACTCATCAACTAGTACACTGGTTAGATAGAGAAAACTTGAGTGTTGTCCTCCGGTTGTGTAAGACAGTACAATCTGAAATCAGAAAAAATTTCTAACAACTTCGAAATGTAAACGTAAGTAATTTAACGAGAATGATAACCCTAATTTTTACAACGCATTAAAGTCAACATTTTGATCAAACTTCAAAATGCATTTGAACAGTAATTGAAAAAAATTGGTTAAAAACGAAAATCCATGCCAACGTAATATGTTTTTATAATAATTTTAGCAAAGATTAAATAATACGTGAAGGCAAACTAATTTTTCCTATTTCTGAATGAAGCCTTTTCATATCACTCTGGGGTGTTGCAATAACCAGTTACTAACAATAGGATTAAATTACGATGAGTAGTATCTCACAAATAAACTTCGTCTGAAGCACCAGTAGGGCTACTCCTGGTCTCAGGTCCCTCCCTATACAGGAGAGTTAGGAATGTGGTTAACAATTTCATCTCGTAGAAAAGATAGTTGGTAAAAAAAAACGCTACGCATGCAGCCAGATAACACAGGAAACAGAACATTTAAATCGTACATAGTATCATACTAATTGAATCTTTATTCGATACTGAATAAGTTACCGTCACGTGAGACGGAAGTATACTTAAGTTGGATGTAGTGGTAATAAAAATGAACCTTGTGACATTGACGCTTACGAAGGTGAAAAAACAAATCCATTTGAACTCTGACGTAGGAAGGATTAAATGTGTCTAGAGGCGCTGAATACCGAAAATTATCAGAACAAACATCAGGGCTCTGTAGACATTTGGGAGACGATTCAACAAAGAAAAAACATGAAGAAAACGGCAGTCGAACAGGAGCAGATAAAGTCAAGTATACAGAAGAAACATATTAATAAAAGCACGAGTTGACAAGTGGAAATATGTAGGTCTAGAAATGCAAAAGAACAGGTTGAAAAGAAAGGAAAAATGAACTAACAATATGATTCAACCAGGACGTTAGTGAGTAAGTAGTCTTCTGACTACCCTAAGCAAAAATGCAAGCATATCTGAGATGCGATTCTCCTTCTCCAAATGCAAAGTGTTGCTTCAGGATTAGATTGCATCGGCACCTGAACTATTGATAAGGAGTGAAGCAGTTCAGTGTCGACCGCTCCACTTATCTCGGGAGTCTGATCAGTGCTGCTGGCCTGGTTACTGACAAAATCTCAGCACGGATACAGACGGCTCGATTGACTATTGCCAACTTGCGTTATTTGTGGCGTAGGCGAGATATCCGTCGACCAACCAAAGGAGGGGTTTCCTGTGCATCAGTTTGCTATGTTACACTGGACGGGTGTGAAACATAGCCGATAAGAGTAGAGGATATTCGTAGGCTATCATCGGTGTCTTCGAAGCATTGCTCGTATATCCTGGGATAACCGAGTGAGCGATGCTGTAATTAGGAAACGAGCAGGAGGTAGGGGCGGCAAATCAAAAGATGAAGTATTTAAACTTCATCAGTTGAGGTGATTGGGATATGTGCTACGTATGCCCAATAATCGACTGCCTCGACGAGCTATATTTTGTGGTGTAGGAGTAGGTTGGAAAGAAGCTAGGGGCACAAATCCATGAAGTCACTAACAACTGGATTGAGTCATGTTGGTAGGTGTAGACTTCTTGTTGGGATGATAGTAATCGATGGTTGGAGACCTTGAATGACATGGCTCAAAATCGTTTGCAATAGCGCAGGTACATCCATTCTGTGTCCTCTCAAATTCTAATCTTCTCAACTCCTAATCACCTTTATCTTTCTTTTTTTAAATTGATTTCACTGGATTATACTTCTCGAATAATATCTTCGGACCGTGATCTTTCCGATTAATGCTCATACTTCTACTACCGCAACGACTATGGGAATTGAAATGACAACTGCGTCTCTGCGCTAATGTGGTATGGAAACTTGAACTGATGTACCTACGTTCGTTGTAACTAATTGACAAACTGGTAGTAGATCAGTGATGTTGGAGAGCAGCAGAACAGATGAGTAGTCTACTTTTGAGGGCTCGAAAATAAACTAGTCACATAGCACCCATCGGACACCGAAGCAGCACCCACAGACCTCACCAAAATATACCGCCTTTCCAGCAACAGAATAAATAAGCATGGTCAACGGTAGCATCACAGTTTCATTAGTGAAGTCAAATACAGAGGCGGCGTTACCGCTGACATCGTAAAGGATCTCCGGCGCTGGACTGCAATGCCAAGTTGTGTATGGATGGCACCACACGAATGCACTACAAGTGAAAGTTGGTAATAGATAAAACCACCTGCCGCCGTTATTTTTCTTCCTCATGGCTGTTGATTTGATGATAAAGACCTTTACCTTGGGTAGAGCTGAATGATTTTGGCATCACAAATAATAGCTTTGCTGTTGTGAACAAAAAAACGGGTGCAAAGAGACGGTTAGTAAAGCAGCGGCTTTGTTACGCATGCACGTAAACACGTCATTTGATATGCTACGAGTTTACCTTAGTCAGTAAACGAGAGCGAGGATCGAGGATCCGGCGACACGATAGGCTACTCTAATCCGATTATCCAGAACCGCCAGTGAATAAAAGAAGACTTGATATGAAGTAGAAAATTTATTCTAAAAGCCTTCAGAAAGTACGAGGTCCGAGTCCAGAAGAGAATCAGGATCCCGGACTAAGGATCCGGGTCTGGGTCATAAGACGTTACAGATAATGTATATTTATACAGTTAGGTCGAATAAGAAACAACATTGAAGTCTGTGACATTGATAGCTAAAACGACCATAATATTGACCAGTAGGAATTGACCAATAGAGTTAGACTTACAAAGATAATTCTCTTAGGATATTTGATGAATATCCTAACAGGCTATTCAATGAGAAATAAGTAAAGTCCTGAAATACGACACAATCAGCACCAGTCGAATCACTCTTGATACAGAAGCTCTAAAAGGTGGAAGCCTTTACGTATCTGTGCAGTATCACCAATAAACAAGAAGGATATAATGCAGATGTCAAGGCAGGCATTGACAAAGCAAGCACAACATTCTTATAATTAAAAAGGTTTAGCACTCAAAACAACTATCACTCAAGATCAAAGTCAGGTATTGCAACAAAAAAACAGTTCTATTTTACAGGAATGTAGTGTGAAGGACTACCTAAACGTTATCAAAAAAGCACAGGTTTTCATAAACAGCTGTCTTTGGAAGATATTCTGGGTCCAGTACTTAAAGATCATAAGTGATAATCGAATGTGGCAGAGCCTTGAGTTAAAGGGCAGAAATCAAAATGATGGACACCACTCGGGAACAACTGGAAACAGGAGCTCAGTACAGAGCTGGTTGGAGATCCTTTGTTGGCAGCCTGTGCTCCGACAGAAGTGTGAAACTACGTTAATCAAGTAAGTATACATATCACAAACAAAGGAAAGTAAATTTATCAAACAACAGTGTCACGTAACTTTACACGTCCAAAACTAACCTAAGCAGATGGGAGGAAAAATGATAAAAATCTACCATAACTAGTGTCGGATGCAGTTCACAGTTTTATACACTTGGCAATGGACTATTACGGTAACGAAAACATGACAAAATAAATGTGATATCGGTCAGCGAACGTAAATTACCTTTTCAGCAAGTTCTGGTAGGAGATCTCGTAAGTGCACAGAAAAACAGCGCACAATAAAACGTATGAGACGACAAACATGTTCCATCGGACGCATTCGCGAGGCATAATGCGTTAGTACACGGGTTACAACTGGCCATATTACGTCTCTCACTAACTGCAAGCATTCTGCTAAACACTTTTGAGCAGAAAGCACCATTTCAGACGCAGAACGATCAACAGTATTACGTTCTCTGGCATCCCATTGACTAGAACTTGGATTTCCCAAACGTCGTAGCAGGCAATTGAAAGTACGAAACAATGCCGCTAGATAATCAAGCCATACACGAGGATCACTGAGAGTATCTGACCCTTCAATAGGGACATTTCCATCCATCAGCTAAAGAGGGCAGACGAAAAAGGAGTAAATTATATAAAAGTATAGTAAATTAAACAAACGAAATGACTAAACAAATAGTAGTGAAATCGAATTTGAGTTAACATCTACCACGTACAATAGACATAAGCGGAGAGCAACTAGAATCAACTATCCTACAACTGGTATCAAACCTGTTGCTTGTAAATACACTTACTGTTCACCAACACATCCACGTGTCCGGAAATAAGTGAGGAAGAATCCATTGATGATTATTTAGCAAAATATTAAAAGTAATTAACCATTTCTTCCAGAAAGATGACTAGAGTTAAAATTATTTGCATTGATTTGATAGATAATCTTAAATAATAACACAGTTGCGAGATTTCGCATATTCACCATTGCTTTACCATTATGTCAGATACAGAGAATGATGGCAAAAAATTGGATATAAATTCACAGGTACAGTAAATTTATAATGAGATATTGTTCACCATATTGTTAGTATTCTATATGAGCCTGTCAATAACCAATTTTGTGCATTTTTAATGTAACAACCATACTTTTAATCCTAAACCATATCATCCAGTCACCCAATACAAATTTCAAAATGATTCATCATAAAAATGAAGAATTACCTTAGATAAGCATTCCAAGCTGACGCTACATATTTGTGCTACTCTCATTGGAAAAGCTTGTCGAGACGCTCGAGGATCAAACTCGATCCCCCCACCACCTGTGCCAACAGAGCATATTAAGCCTCGTCCAATTCCAGAGAAAAAATGAGTAGCATCATGAATAGGAACCCAAGCAAGCCTTGGTAGATTGTAGGCAACACGATTGACCAGATCCTGCCAATGTTCGTCAATTAAAGCAAGACGAGGAGAATCGGGATTACTAGGGGAAGAGAGAGGAACATCTCTATTAGGCGTAGATGTTGGAGTTGCACGATAAACGGCACATAAAGAACCGAGAGCCGAAAGTGCCGCCCCAACAGCAAGCTTTTGTCCTGGCTGAAATGTAAAATAAAAAATCGAAATCTAGCTAAACACTGGTGAATGTTATCAAAAGAGTGGTTGATGTTATGTAAGGAAAAGTTAAACTTTATAATTCTAACATAACCAGTGAAGAATTTATAGATTCAACTTAACACTATCTTAGAATGTGAGCGTGTCCGATCATTTGATAAGTTTGGAAATTTAGTACAACCAGCTCTTTGTGCATTTTTGCTTGTAAAGCTATGATTGTTATACAGAAGATATTTATAAACCAATAAAACTTTCTAAATACTAAAATCACAAATATATAATGCACCTACCTATTTCAGCGAAACCATCTGTAGAAATAGATACCATTAGAGATGCATTGTGAATAGTCCTTTAGTGTTCCGATAATCAAAGAATATGCTCAGCATTTGTTAATTTTAAATAAAACGCTGAAAATCAGTGTTCCAGATTTCATACGTGAAAACTGATGGTGAACACAAGTGGTAACAACTTTCAAGCGATGAGATCCATTACAAATAAACAATAACAGCTATTATAGATAACAAACAATTATGATAGAACTAGTTCTTCATTAGATCTTTAAGTAGGCTACTTGAAACTTGTTTTTCTTTCACAATGAATAGAAACGAGGATGAATTAAGTTAGAGCACGAAACGGCATAGACCTTACAATGTTGAGTACCAATTAGATTATGCTAACTAGTTGACTTTGATAAAATCATCCAATTGTTAAATGAAACCTTTGAAATGGAAAACATCATTTGCCACTGGTCCTCTATATTCGACCAAAAAAGAGGATTTTTGTGCGTAAATCGACTGAAACGCCAGCTTGTTTGTAGGTTCTGTATTTACGAAATTTTACATTATTAACAGAGACTTATCCCAGTCATACAAGTAAAAATACAATATTTAAATGAATCACTAGTTTCGTTTGCTAACAAATCAATATAGAACTCCATTTAAAGCCAAAATGCCACTGTTTAAAATAACCAGTCTGAAGAACTTGAGACGTGCGAAAATCAAAAACAATTTATTTACCCAAGAATACACCCAATAATAAAGATCATTACAAAGAGTAGAGTCAGGTCATTAGCTAACTACCTAGGTACCAACTATTTAATAAGAATTAGTTGATATATGAACCTCAATGATTGTTTTTAATGAAGACATTACACAATCATGCAAGTCTAAGTACTAATTAAAATGTTTCGTTTCATAATTAACAGTTCTGAAGTTGGAATTCATAGAAAAATTAGGATGAACTATTTATACTAAAATTTCCACTACAAAGCAAATCTTTTACTCATACTGTTCATAATAAACCTATTAATGTGATATGACCAGCATATTTGGAATAAACACTTTACGTCCTATTACCACTTCAATGACGTTATCCTTTTCAGTATTTTAAAACCACACAATTGATGTCAAAAGGGATAAGAACGGTTCAAATGAATTCATACAGCAGAGAAGACTGCGGGCCTAGTAGATTAAGATGATCTTCTTTGAAATATGAAGAGTTGAGCTTTACGAAAAACCTAGAACTTTATATAACATGCACAAAAACCCAGTTTTACACCAAATGAAAAACTACTTGAACTACAGACAAAATGAATGCATCTTGAATTTCTCTACATTTTCAATTCAATGGCTTCAAATAACACACCCCAGTACAACATGAGGTAATAAGTATAACTTAGAAATACTACGGAAAACATGATACAGTACAACTAACCTGCAAGGATTGAGATTCAACACCAGCAGACTTTTCGATTATCTCGATCAACTGATTAACGATTTGACGTCGGAGCTGAGGATGACAGGCGGCCCAGTGAGCCAACTCCATATATAACATACAGCCAACTTCTTGAAGAGGTGGAGGACATGGTCCTGTCAGACCTGGGAGTACTAATTTCGATATCAGATTCGAAATATGTCCTTCAGGATCATGAGGAGACAGTCGTTTTGCGACAGTTGTGAGCATGAACAGACATGCCTCAGACTCACGAAGTACTTCATATGCCGACGCCTGTACATTTTCAGACATAGCTAACATTTGCAGCTTCTGAACATAATTGTATAGCTAGAAATGGAAGATTATATTTGTTTTAAATTTAGCCCGAAAACTAGGCACTACTTACGAATATCCCAATGGAAGGGAAAGGAAAGAAAACTAAAAAATCTTACGTTCTGCAATGTAACCGTCAATTTATAAAAAAATAGGTAGATCGATTATTAGTGTTGTTCTTAACTGTAAACTAAGAACCTAAAACTACGGTTAAGATAATCTAAAACTCAATGGTAACGAGCACCTTATGATAAAGTTACTAAGCTGGAAATAGGAAGCGTACATAACTGCTTTTCTGAATTAATACATAAATTTCGGTGAAAGCTCAAAAGTAAAAAGGTAAAATTATATACTAGGACAGCTGTCACTGGTACATATTCGTGTTATATTTAAAATCGGTTACGTAACCTAGACAAATAAAATATGGGGCAAAATAATAAGATGGTAAGCATCTTAAGTTAAAATCAAGGTCAAGAACGGCAAAAAGACATCAAGCATAACTCGCGTAAAATTCCGTATGTCACGAAGTTGCCATCTCTTTTAGCACAAAGGCATGAAACCTTCAGGCCAAATCCAAGATTAGAATCGGTAGTAACAGTATTATGACAATAGGAAGGATTAAGCATTAGAGATACGAGTCAAGGAATTATAAGTCGGCGAAATAAAAACAAAACTATAGGGAGTTGGGACGCTTAGAATTCGAGAGAAAGACAAAAAATAGATGCATATGTGCCACCTGCAAACCATTTTAAACCATATTGTTCGAAGTCTCTTACCACCAGTTACGAAAACCACACGAATACCAGCCAGATAGTCTAAACCTAATAGCATGGCTCAGTCTAACTGTCAATGACCTGATTGATTTGCGCGATGGTTTGGTTTGACCGCCAATAGCTGTCTTCCAGCCGACTGACATGCTAGTCAAAATCACCCGTAGAGTTAGAGGTTGCTCGGGTATACATAATGCAAATCCAACAACCTAATCTGATAAAGATTAACTATCTTATCAATTAGCTTGCCATAATTACGTAACACCCTATAGCTAACGTACGAAATGCTGATTCACTGGTTCCGAAATACACGACGAATGCTATGATGAAAACTATGGTTGGATACCAGTAATTTACGAATATTCTCTATTCTTGAAGGCCATATTTCAAATTCATAAAGTAGGATGAAGCGTAACTGCTGTGCAGTAACCTCGTCTAGCAGCAGTACCACGCAAGATAGCATAGGCCCACTGAACATTCAGTATGTGTTTCAAGATTTCATTATATACAAGACTATTATGAGTGAAGAGACTTACAAGATAAATGAAGCGGTCGACGCGTTCCGCTACTTCATTCCTCATAACTAATATATACGTCGAAACAAGCCAATCTTGAAGCAACATCTTGGGTTTGAAGGTAGTCATAGAAGTAAATTTTGTCAGCATTTTCCCAAAAAATAACTATAATATATATGTACCCTGAGTCAACGAGTGAATGTCCTGGTAGAAGGTTAACCCCTGAGAAGTCAGACAACGAAAGAGTGAACTGTAAAAGCATGTCTATTGCAGAGTTGAATAAAAACGGTGGAAGAGGACAAGCCTGACGAACACCACTTGACGTAATCAGTTTCGATGACAGTTCACCATAAGCTCTGACTTGACAGTTAGCGTTTGAGTAGAGAGCCTATGCAAGTTTAATGTCACAGAACCTAACGATCAACAGAGTCAAACACCATCTTTAGCTCAAGAAATACAATTATTCTCGGAGGTTGGAAAGTATGCATCTTGTGTGGTACGATCTAACTAGGACGTAACAAACTTTCGTAGCCATTTTCTAAGGTCTCATTTGTATGTTGTGACTGCATATCTACGAAGTATTTCGATCTTACGATTTTCGAACAACCCAAATACTTAGCTTTCATCTGAGCTGAAAATAATACATTAAGTTTCATTTACAAACTAGAAACGATAATCTGTGTACAGGATTCTCCACTTTCCACTTAAAAATGCTGATGTTCCATGTTATCACTGTTACTTAAGTGGTCTGCTGTGCGGTCTAATAATGTATGTACATGAATGGATATCTAGAATATGATAACAATCTAGGACTGGCTGTCAAAGTTCTTTGTTCATCCAACTTGGTTGGAAAAGTCAGTATTGGGCCATCCTTCAAGCACAGAGTAACAATTCTCCCATCTTAGTTGTGAACCAGCAACTCAAAAGTTTTTAGCGTATCGGTCAGTGTAGGGAGATAACAATGACTATGTTCTAGAAACTGCTGAAGTACTGAGGTGGTGTTTCGTCCCCTCAGCTGGATGTTTTGGTTGTGGAGCTTTCATTGTTCTTCTGAACAACACCATCAGCGCAAACTTCAGACAGAAGTGAAGTATTCGAATTTCTCCACGTTCGACCCGTAGCTGGTTCTGTTAACATAGATCCTGATTGGCTGCTATTGATCTTACACCGGTCGTTGTCTGCACCTTTGTTTTGACTGTATTTCCCTTTGATCTGTTTCTTGATCCTATGTTTGCCTACGACTTTTATGTTAAAGTACGGATACTTAGTCTCTACTTCCACGTCTAGATCTGAAACGACCCATGTTTTCTCTAGTCTGCTCTTCAAGAGTTCGAGTTAGGCGTTGAAACATTATTGGAGCTAACATCCTGGATACTACATTAGTCAAACTGATTCCGTTGTGATTGTCACAAGAGGACTTTTAACCTTTCTCATAAATTAGGACAGTCAGTGACTGAGACCAGTCAGATAGGATTATGGTCAGTCCCCAGATTCTACCTAAGATCTCAGTTGACCGAACTGCTAAAACTGGAACACTATCCTTTAAAATCTCAACGGTTAATATATCTAGTCCTGCTACTCCCCCTCGCTTTGAATTCTCTATAGCCTTTTCAACCACATTCAGAGTTGCAGGACTCACATCAATTTGCCACTTAGATTGCATGCAGATGGTGGCTAGCTGAAGAAGAGCGGAAAGTCATTTGAACTGTTCCTTAAAGTATTTTACCTATCGGTTCAATTTCCTTGATTGAGGATGGATAATGGTCTCATCTTTCTTTGTGATAGTATCAACAACGGCAGGATTTCTAATACCATTATCATTGAAACGTCTAAAACGTCGTCTACTGTTGCATATTCCCACAGTCTTTTCTACATCTTACTCGCGATCTCGTGTAGTTTTTAGCCTACATTTAGGCTGCCTCTGCTCCTCATGTTGTTTGGAGACACACAGAATGAGTTTCCAAGTATTTATCAATCTAGTAGCTGCCGATGAAAACGACTAGATATATCCTAACCTCTTGGTTTAACATAATGATACTTATCACTACTGTTTCAACAGGTTTACGGAAATCGTACCAAACTGCCTCGGACTGGGCATCAGGTACATGGCTGACTAACTATTTTCTAGATGCTCCCGAAATATACTCTTGGATTTTTATCATCAAGTAATGCGCGAAAGGGTTTCCTTGCTGTGGCTTACGTCCAGCAAGCCGCAGATAAATACGTACTCGTACTAGAGGATGATTCGAGTCAGAATAAGATACAATCATCTTTCAAGCTTTTTCGGCTGCTCACACTGAGGGACCTAGAAAGTAAGCTGGATTAGTGTTAATCTTAGCGACTTGGAAGCGTGACCATAGAGCCTGAAGGACGGCCTCCTGAGTCGTCACACATGGCCTATTCATGAGAAGGTTTTAACGCGTTGGGTTTGCTCTTCACTGGAGACTGAAATCTGAGGGCTAAGGGTAGGCGTGATATTTTTGTAGTCGACCTATTCTAACCCCCATTGTGCGAAGACAGCATTGCTGCAGACGCTGGTTGTCAAAAGGGAACACTTTACTGTTATCACACTTCTAATCAGCGGCACGACTTTGTCCTCGGACCTTAAGTCAGTGAGCCAGTTACAATGTAAAACTTCGTACATACGTACATAAGTTCAAGTTACCATAGCACTTTACCACAGAACACTATTCGCAACCATCCAGTATACCTCATTAAAATCAAAGTTGGCAATGATGAGACATACATGTTATTTAGAATGTAAAATGCCTGTCATCAACTTGTGGAATTAGATTATGTAACTGTCACAGATCAAAATCCTTCCAGTTGTCTAAATGTAAAGCTGACTGAACAGTGATAAGTTGTCAATGATGATGCACATTAAACTGGGTTTTATTCCAACAGATGAAGCTTGCTATAGAACACAAAAGTTGTAACCACACTCTGAAGTGTTTACGAATACTCAACACACATTGAGGTAAGATCGAACTCTATACAGCTCGTTATTTACGTAGTGAATGACAAAATTGACACAGTATTTTCTATTTCCTACATAATGATTATATGACCCAAAGAGAGACGAACATCAACTAACCATGTCTAGTTGAGAGAACTAGCAGTTAGTCATTATCACCATAGGACTTGGCAAAGTATAGCTGGTAACACACTAGTTACTATGATCGAACTTGAGCAGACAATCCATGATATGAAATGGATGTTGCATAAAAAGTTAAAGATATAAACGCAGTATAAATAAAATTAGTCAAATCAACCACACCATACGTTTTATATATAATTACCTCGACAAAAATCGCCTCAGCTCCAACCAAACCCAAAATATCTTGCATGAGATCATGAACATCTTCCCGAAAATCTCTTAATTCATCAGTACTTTCTAAATCGGACGTATTACTGGGACAGTAATTGGTTAAAGCAACAACAACGCGAGTGAAGTAAGGGATTAGGGCTGCAATTGGGCGTGTGACACCAGTAGAAGTATTCGAATTATTAACCGAGGATTCCAAGGGGCCTTGGTTCACAGAAACCGAAGAGCTCAGGGACCGGTGCTATATAAATAAAAGCGTGGAAAGTCATTGTCGGTAAATAAATTCCATAGAGCCCTTATCAAATCGGAAATTAAACAACAAAATGTAGCCGCAGCACATTAATAACTGGGGGAGGAGGCAGACGCTCTAAGAAAATGGACAGAGTTTCGATATCTGCTGAAAACTCAATAGGTTTATTGTCGAAACAGGAGGGGACACATTTTACGATTTATCTAACCTTTATTTAACATTTCATTACAATGCTTTAACTGGTTTTTTAAATATGTTTCATATTTTCAATACAGTCTGGAGGGAAGCCTAACTTGGAGACTATGCTAGGTTACTCACTACTAGATTGTTAAACCATGATACTATCGTCCATTTTAAATATTTGACTCGTTTAATAAATGGCCTATTCCTTGATTCTAGTGAACCTTCGAATGAATATTTATTACTGCCTACTCAAAATACTACAATTTAGTTAAATTCGAAAACATATCTGAGTTGATTCAGCAACATACTGATGTTTATCAGTCATTCAGTCAGTTACGACATAAAACTAAACACGTGGGTACATACGTTAAAGTTACCAGACAATATTAACATAGAGATGCAACTGTCAATTCAAATCCCATAGTCTTAGCGTTAATAGAACTATGAGTAGTAATCAGATAGATCACTATCCCAAGAGATTATTTGGGAAGTATAATCCGGTGAAATCAGTCAGTCAGTCAGTTACAACGTAGAACTTTGTACATGAGTACATAAGTTAAGGTTGTCATACCGCATTAGCACAGAAAAGCGACCGTCAGTACAAATCCAATCACGATGAAGACAATAGAAGAATTACTGATGGTGGAGAACATTAGAGATCAAATATATTACTCAAAAAGTATGGTTCAGTGATATAACTTTAGAAAGAGAAAGATAGAGATGATGAGGAATTCAGGTTAGAATTCGCGAAAACACAAAGAGTAGATGCACTGCCCGACCGAAGCTGCTACCTTGATGTGGTAGTCGGGCTTGCCTATCGTGATGACCCAACCGAGCTATATTGGAGTGAGCTGAAGGAATGCGATTAGAGTTAGTCGTAGAGATAAGAGAGATATTAGAGGGTGTAAGAAGGATTTGATTTTGACCAATTTTGTCTCTCGTGCAGTTACGGGTATGAGGGCTGATGTCACTTCCCGGATGCCCACACCATCGAATGTTGTTTCTTGAGGAACCTGAAAAGGAAGATAGATTAGTGTTATTCTTAACGACCTGGGAGCGTGACCGCAGAGCCCAGGGAACAACTACTTGAGGTCGGTCACACACGGCCTTTTTATTAAAGGTTTCTTGAGTATTAGCTCCGCTCTTGAAAGCTCTTAGTGAGCACCCTTACCGCCGGGGACGGAAATCCGTGAGGTAAGGTGAGGTGTGACATTTTCAGGGTCGACCTTTGCTAGCCCCTTCCTTCCTTTTGAAAAGGTAGCATCGCTGCAGATGCGGGTTGACTGAGGGAAACACCTTACTGCTGTCACACATCTCTGCAGTCAGCAGTACGACTTCGCCCTCAGACCTTGGGTAGCTGCTTTTAGTCTCATCGTTCTCCAACCGACCTGCCTGGCATGGTAGAATTCACAGGAACATATACTACGGTCAATATACCTTCGTTAGTTGATCACGACAGGCAAGCCTGCCCAACAAGTCAAGGTAACAGCTATGGTCTGGATCAGTCATTATTTGGGACAAGATAACAACTTGAGTTTAATGCAAATCTTCAAGTTAATATAAGAGTTAAGAAATAATGCGGTAGTTTTCATAGAAAGTAGAACAACCCTTATGCTCAGTAGTAGTGATTGTGAGTATTGATTTGATCAATTTACAAACGAACAAAACAGGCATTTATTATATCAGTTTAACACTAGAAGCATCATTAAACAGCTGAAAAAGAAACATTTCCGCAAACTTACTCGAATCGCATCATCAGCCAAAGAATGTAAGGCATGGAATGTAATAGATGCCAATTCACGACTACCAAGAGGAGGAGGCATTTCAAGAACTACAAGAATACACTCCATAGTACGCAAGTCACCGAGACCACCAGATCCAGGACTGGTAGGCTGATCTACTAAGGGAGGTCGTAGAGTTCTGGCTAGCGATGAGAAAATATGAGCCAAACAGGTACATCGATCTTTGTACACTTCAAGCTGTTCTTGCTGTTGAATTGGTCCTAACGCAGAAGCAACAGAGTTAGAACAATCCTGCACAACACTAACTAAACTGTAAATATTTTCTTGCAGCCAACGCAGTAATTCACTGTTTGAATTGCTAAGTTGCTTGAATCAAAATCGACAAAAGAAAGAAAACCAGTTTCTTACGTAGATGTTAGCAGAAGACGAAAATTAAAAATACATAAGTTACAATTTAATTTTTAAAAGTTTGGATTATCCGGTTGTTTTCACTGAACTTTGACCAGTCTTAGATGTGTGCATCCTGTGTGGATTGCCTCTACATAGCCATCATAACACAAGCTAATATAGAATAGACGAAATGTAACTAATAATGTAAACTAGAACGAGTTTTCTCTTATTCGGGACTCGTTAGCTGGATGTACAAGCGTTGCTACTTAGAGCAAAAGGCACTAAATCCGAACACCGGGGGAAACATGAACTCTCGGGTGCAGAAGCATTCGGATGAGTCACACATAAGGCTAAACGTTTATCCTTAATTTCACTGCTAGCCACATTCTATGTATTCTTTATAAAAATTTTTACTTGTATATAAGGTCAATTTAATTAGCAGGAACCAAAATCGAAATGCTTACTATCCAATATAATGTTACATGACACTTGGGAAATTACGAATTAAGGTAAACCTAAGCAACTACAAATTCGTGTAGGCTTCATAAAAGATTGAGTAGATCTAGTGCAACTGAACGGAAATAGGTATTTTCTGAAATAGGTTGACACTGAAATTTATTGCTCAGGAATTAGGGAATTTGTTGCTGAAATGTATTTGTATAGACGAATGAAGGTCACTGTCGACTAGAAATGAATAGTCGACATTTTTATGAGTCAGTTTGAAAGAAAACAGTATTTTTTTTATGAAGTTTCACGGGAGGTAAGAATTTAATTTGATTCGTTAATGATTTTAAAAATTAAGGAACTGATTAAGTAACACTTTACAGTAAGACTGGGTAAGTAGACGTGTATATAAACAACAGAACCAAACCTTTAAGTGTTATATAAAAGTTACTGTTTTTTAATCTAAAACGAATTTACAGGCTTGGAATTTTCCCGACTGAATCCACAAACTGACCTTAGAGACCATAAGAAACCTGGAAGTACATGATGACCGTTTCGTCCTAGCACGAAACTCCTCAGCAATGAGCATTCACGTGGGAATCGAATCCAAGAACTTCAGTCTCGCGAGCGAACGCTTAACGTCTAGACCACTTAGTTGACATCCAATGGTGTTAATGTCTGACCTCGACCAACACATGAACTTAAGCAACATTCATCCATCGCCTGCGACGGATGTCTGTCTCACACCTAAAGCGGACACAACCCCACTAGTCAGTGATTTTCGCTAGAACTCCAGGAATAAATCTTGAAACAGGTCGATAGTGAGCATATGATTGTTATTAATGAAGGGAATTTGTGAAGATTGTGTTATTCTTACAACTAAAATCACGAACGACTTGGAATTAATAATAATACAGCTAAGATAAATTGGCTTACCTTACACTGGTATAAAAGTGCTAGCACCCACTGTGAGGCGGCATCAAAAGTTGATTCAGGAGCAGTGGAGGGATTCCGAAGGATAGCAAATGCAGTGTTCAACAGAGGGTCAATCGGCACATCATGTTCCACCATGACTCCAGTATTATCCCACCAACTCGCAAGACAATTATATACTTTTGCTAAGATAACCATTTGTTCTGATTTTGCTCTATGAGACTAAAAATAAGAAACAGATTTCGCTATTGACAATATAAACATTAACGCGATGTACCTTTACCAGGATAATTAATTAAGACTTCACAATTAGGATTTTACATAAAATTAGTGGTTCATGTTCAGAAATTTATATCTAGCAATAATACTACCAACTAACAACAGAAAAAAATATGATCGAATTTTTAAACTGTTTACCTTGTTCTAAACAAGAATAAATGCCTGTGAAGTAAATTGATTGACATTTCAAGCAAAACGTTGTAGCTATTTAATAACTTGAAAAAAAAATACATATTCCTCACAACAAGTTTGAGATTGATTCCGATCATTTATAAAGCTTAAAAACAACTACATTCTTCTTGTGTGATATGAATGTGGTTACTACTTTTACTCCATGTATTTTAATGTACTCTGGCAGCAGGTACAACGCAGAACATGTTTTACGAGTAAAAGATATAAAAAAAAATATCAGATTTTTAACCCAAAGCCTATTTTACATAGTAGTCTATATGGAGAATTCAGTTGGCATAGTAACGAAAATGAAGTTACAATTTGTTGTTATTGAGAAAATTTCTTAACAGAAGCAATGTGATAAATGCTCATCATGAAAAATAAGATAAATTGCTGTGAAAACCAGACATTCAAATGCCGAAAATCTTATTTTCGTGTATTGATTATTATTAATTATTACAGAGAATTGACAGGAGAAAAGAGCAGCGAATTTCCCGAAAAATACGATTACCATCATGTGTACATGTTAATAAATAAATATTCATTTTTTCTAAAAAAAAAATTTAATCAGCAAACAGTATCAAATAGAAAAATCTGCTAAGTTTTAAACTGCCACACTGCATAACAGAACAAGAGAGAAAAGGTGCACACCAAGAAACAAAAGAAAATAAGAAGCAACAAGATGTATAAGATTTAGAAGATAGGTAATGATTGAAGTCACATTGGTGTAGTCGATTTTTGGGTAGTTCACACAGGACCTCCAACTCGTAATAAGTAGTATCTTGGAAAATCCACAGGAGAAATCGAAAAATACATGGAGATTAAACTGGAGTGATTTTGCAGATTAATGCCAGGGCATTATTTTAGAACTAATCAAATTGTTTCTGCTTCAGCTGATATCGCATACACAAACTATGTTTTGAAATGCAACACCCATACTTCAGTCACCTTAGTTAATCAAGTCTGATAAGCTAACTGACCTACTCAGTCTTTTTATTTGATATGTTATCATTAATTTTGACCCTAACCATTTGTTTGTTTCATCACACAAGAAGAAAATTTTGAAGACACTTATAACTGAATACGTGTAATCGACGTACAACCTCCATTCTTAAATTCATTGTTGCAGGGATAAAGCAGCTCGAACCAGGCTGCCACAAAATACACTTTCCTATTAAACAGCTGAAAGTCCCATCGAAAGAATAAGTTGGCCGGGCTGAAAATTTACCTTTTGCATCTGTACAAAGATTTTGTCAACGAACGGAGTCACTGAATTCCCCGAAACAAGTAAATTGATACACGTGTTCAACCACTTCGCTTACTACTGTATAAAGTACGACACTGAAACATTTAAAAAGCACTGCATCGCCCCAATCTTTGTCAAACTAAATGGTACTGTTTGATCACTCTTTTATCAGAGGTCCTGCAGATAAAAAACATTCCAGAAAGTAAGACGTAATAGGCTCACTTTAATCAGTATGACTACAATAAAGGTAAACGTGAACAACAGTAGTAGGGATTCTAAACGAAAATCATAGCAATTGTTTCGAATAGAATTACTGCATGAGACTCCATAGTATGAGTTTAAATGGTTTCCTACTAATATAGTATACTTGTTTGAGATTCAAAAATAGATATCATATAACATTCGGAATAATAAACCTAACATACTCGGGATGTTTCACTTCCTTTAAATCAAAATACTTCAATGCGGCCGGTTTGCATCAACGCTTAAACTAAGGACAAATAATGAAGTAACCAATAGCGTCTACTAGTTTACACATTTCAGAGGTCTTATCAACCCAGACGGGTTAGTGTTTGACGAAATTTTGGTCCTGAACTCAAGAAAGTTGGTTGGTTTTGCCGACCAGCACCACTTGTGCCCAAATGGAAATATCCATTACCCAGGAAGGGTTTTCAACCATATATGTCTTCGAAACATTGCTCGGATATCCTGGGACAACCGAGTAGGCAGTGCTGTTGTTAGGAAACGAGTGCTAGGTAAAGATGGCAGATCAATAGATAAGTACTGAAATTTCATCAGTTGAGGTGGTTGGAACATGTGTTACGTATGCCTAACCACCGACTGCCTCGACGAGCAATGTTTTATGGTGTAGGGATAGGTTTGAAGAATCTGGGGTCGGCCATGAAGTCATTAACAACTGGAATAAGCTGTGTTAGTAGGTGTAGACTACCTGGTTGGAGTGGGCGAAATGATGGTAATCGATGGTTAGAGACCTTGAATGACATGACTCAAAGTCGTTTGCGTTCTCTCAAATTCTAATCTTCTCAATTCCCCATTACCTTTATCTTTCTTTTCTCAAATCCATTTCACTGGATTAAACTTTTCGAATAATATCTTCAGACCGTGATATTTCTGATTACTGTTCGTAACCCTACCACCTCTACGACCATGGGATTTGAGTTGAAAATTGCATCTCTGTGCTAATATGGTATGTTAACCTGAACTGGTGTTTGCACGTACGAAGTTCTACGCTATCGCTGATTGATTGAACGAAGAGTCATGCTTACTACATAACAGTCTACTTTGTATAACCGTATGTTTCAGAAAGTGACCCATGAAAATGAAAGACATTTGTAGTTCATGGTTATTCGATCGTATATAAGACGCACTTCATCAGTACGCTGGGATCACTATAAGAGAAATGTTGAGGTGACATGTAGAGTAGTAGGAAAAGATGGGGAGTTGGTTGAGGCTATGAATGGTCGTTAACTCGGAACATGAATTACGCACACCTGATCACTGCTTACCATAATGTGCAACATTGAATAATAAGTAGATAGTTAGAGGCAACTAACACAAGAAGTTATTGAGTTTTTCTGAGCAGTATCGGTAGATACAGACTACCCACCTAAATTCAGCTCAATTATTGCAACTGATGTTTGAAGATTTTGAGTAACACGGATTAAAAATGGTCGTTATTGTATAGATGCGTTATCGCCTTAGCTATCTGAAGATCCTGAATATCAAATTTATTCAGTTTTTATTCTTTGAGTAGTTTTTCTTCTCGAATAATGTCCTCTATGACATTTTCTTGTACTATTATTGATACTACTACTTTTGCACTGATCTTGGTAGAAGAAAACTAACTGCATCATCTGTTGCGACTAAGTACCAAACTCAGTGCAATTTGAAGTTATTTATGAGCCCATCACAAAACATATGGTGCTGTGCAAATGAACATTAAAGTTGCCCGCACCTCGGAGAAACGTCCGACTCATGTACATCGAATCTCTGTGAAGTTCCATCAGCTCTTTGAGCTACGCCATTCTAGTCCAGCCAATCATGAATTTACCGATTTCCGTAAGTCCTTAACTGTGAAGCACGTCGCTCTCTTCGGTCGGTGACTACTAGTCAACTTAATAAAGTGAAAATCTGTAACCAATTTCGTAACACACGTCCCAACCACATCGACTGATGAAGTTTGAATACTTTATCTATTGAATTGCAATCACTACTTTGTACCCGTTTCCTAACAAGTGTATTGCTTACTAGATAGTCTCAAGATAAACGAGCAAAGCTTCGGAGAAACCTATGATCGAAAACCAGTAATTTGCGAATATCCTGCAGAGTAGTGTGACAGCAGTAAGGTGTTTCCCTCGGACAACTAGCATCTGCATCGATGCTGCCTTCTCACAAGGAAGGAAGGGTTAGAAAAGGTCGGCCCTAAAAATGTCACACCTCCCCTAACTCACGGATTTCCGTCTCCGGCGGTAAGGGTGCTCACTAAGGGCCTTTAAGAACGGAGCTAATACTCAAAAAACGTTTCATAAAAAGGTCGTGTGTGACCGGCCTCAAGAAGTTGTCCCTTGGACTCTGCGGTCACGCTCCCAGGTCTCCAAGACCAACACTAATCTATCTTCCTTTTCAGGTTCCTCAAGAAACAACCTTCCACGGTGTGGGCAGCCGGGAAGTGATAACCGCCCTCATACCCGTAACAGTACGAGAGACAAAATTGGTCAAAATCAAATCCTTCCTACATTCCCTAATACCTCTCTTATCTCCACGACTAACTCTTCTCACATTCATTTATCACAGTGCACAGCTAATGCAAACGATGCGAGTTCGCGAAACGTCGTTCCTGGTCTCCTTAAACCCCGTTCTAAACTACATGTTGGAGCATTCAATGTACGGACATTGTGTCAAATAGGGCAACAGGCATCATTAGCTAGGACTTTAGAATATCTTGCCATCGATGTATGCTGCGTCTCGGAAACGCTCATACAGGATCCTAGTAAAATTATTAATCTGATTTCAACTTGTAAAAATAAAGAAGCAGCTCGAATTACTCTTCGTGTATCCGGTAGCACTGATGCTGCTTCCAGGGGTCTTGCTGGCGTAGGCATAGCTTTGAGTCGTAGAGCTGAACAATCTCTCCTTGACTGGATCCCAGTAGATAATCGCTTGTGTGCTGTCCGACTAAACGGGACAGTTAGGGTTCGGAAAGATAGGAACACTCGCCGTTGCCTCTTCGTCGTGTCTGCCTATGCCCCCACTGACTGCATTTCAGACGAGGTTAAAGATGAGACAATGGTGACCGTCTGTTGCAACTATGCTCAGATAACCGCCTATTCTTAGCGAACACCAACTTTAGGCATAAGGAAAAGCATCTGTTGACAGGGCGACCCCCGAAGTCGTCTCAACGTTGGACTCAACTAGATCACATCGCCATCAGCCACCGATGGAGAGGCTCGATAGAGGACTGTCGCTCGTTCTGGGACACATGTTTGAATTCAGATCATGCCCTAGTGCGAGCGCGTATTTGTTCGAAGCTTACTGGGCGTAGGAAAGACACCATAAGAAAGCCTCTTAGGGTTTTACTTAATGATAATCAAGCTAAGAAAATATTTCAGTAGGAACTAGAAAAACAGTTCGGGCAACCATGTAAGTGATTCCCATCCAGAGGCAGGTTGGAATGAAATCAAAAAGGCTGTGCAAACAGCAGTGATATCTGCTAGTAAGGTTGACTATAAGGCTAGAGTGAAGCCGTGGATCTCAGTAGCATCCACCGATCTGATGGATGTCCGAAAACTCATCCCACCTGGCTCTGAACATGATGAAGAAGGAAGTCAACTTAGGCGCAGACTTATAAAAAGCCTACGTAACGATCGCGAACAGTGGTGGGTGGCGAAAGCAAAAGCGGCAACAGTAGACAATTTTTCCGACGTATCAAGGAAACTGGTATTAGGAATCCTAGTGTAAGTGAGACTATCTCGGAAAAGGATGGTCTCATTATCCATTCTCAATCCAGGAAACTGGATCGATGGGCAGAACACTTCAGGGATCAGTTCAACTGGCCTCGAGCCACTCTTCGGTTACCCACGATCTCCAGTCATCCTGAATGACAAGTCGACGTAAGTCCCCCTAGTCTTAATGACGTTGAGAAAGCGTTAGTAAATCTGAAGCGAGGGCGAGCTGCAGGTCCTGATAGACTGACCCCTGAGATATTTAAGGATGATGGTCCAGTTTTAGCAGCTAGGTTGACTGAGATCCTAGGTAGAATCTGTGAACTGGACGTAATCCCATCCGACTGGTCTCAATCCCTGATAAGAAAAGACAAAAGTCTTCTTGTGACAATCACAGGGGAATAAGTCTAACAAATACAGTTTCTAAAATATTGGCCTCGATAATACTTTGGCGCTTGACGAAAGCTCGTGAAGAGCAAACTCGAGAAAACCAATCTGGTTTCAGACCTGGACGTGGTTGTATAGACCAGATATTCACACTACGACAGGTCCTGGAACACAGACACACATTTAGGCGTGCTACAATAGTTGTCTTCCTGGACCTAAGAGCGGCATTTGACTCGGTAGATCGTGAGGTTCTGTGGCAGTGTCTGTCATTGAAATGTGTACCAAAGAAGTACATTAACCTTATACAAGCTCTCTTCCCTAAACTACTGGTCGAGTGAGAGCTTATGGCGAACTGTCATCGGAATTCCTCACTTCAAGTGGTGTCCGTCAGGGATGTCCACTATCTCCATTCTTGTTTAATTTTATCATAGACATGCTCCTAGATGTAACCTTATCCTCGTCTGAATTTTCAGGAGTAGACCTTTTACCTGCTGGCTCGCTTGTTGACTTAGAATATGCCGATGACATTGTCCTACTTGGTGAAGATGCTGACAAAATGCAGAGTCTTCTGACCACCCTAAGCAACAATCCAAGCATGTTCGGGATGCGGTTTTCCCCCTCGAAATGCAAAATGTTGCTTCAAGATTGGGTTTCATCGGCACCTGAACTAGTGATAGGGAGTGAAGTAGTCGGGCGTGTGGACCGCTTCACTTATCTTGGGAGTCTCATCAGTGCCGATGGCCTGGTGACTGACAAAATCTCAGCACGTATACAGAAGGCTCGATTGGCTTTTGCCAAGTTGCGTCACTTATGGCGTAGGCGAGATATCCGTTTGCTGACTAAAGGACGAGTGTACTATGCAGTGGTTCGCTAGGTCTTACTTTATGGCTGTGAAACATGGCCAGTGAGAGTAGATATTCGAAAAGTTACTGGTTTTCGATCATAGGTGTCTTCGATGCATTGCTCGTATATCCTGGGACACCAGAATGAGCAACGCTGTTATTAGGACACGGGTGCTAGGTAGGAATGGCAGATCAATAGACGCAGTAGTGACACTTCATCAGTTGAGGTGGTTGGGACATGTGCTGCGTCTGCCTAAACACCGACTGCCTCGACGAGCTTTGTCTTGTAGTGTAGGAATAGGTTGGAAGAAAGTTAGGGGTGGCCAAACCAAAACATGGCAGAAATCCATGAAGTCATTGACGAGTGGACTTAGCCATGTCGGTAGTTGTCGACTACCTGGTTGGGGTCCGCGAGATGATACTAATCGATGGTTAGAGACCTTGAATGACATGGCTCAAAATCGTTCGCAATTGCGCCGGTGCATTTATTCTTTGTGTTCTCTCAAATCCTAATCTTCTGGGTTCTTCAACACCTCTAGTTTTGACTTTCTAAACTTTTCTCATTTAATGATACTTCTTGAATAATATCTTCTAATCCTAACCTCTCCGATTACTTCTAATTCCCTTACTACCTCTACTACTACTGGATTTGAATTGACAATTACATCTCTGTGCTGACGTGGTATGGCGACATGAACTGATGTACTTACGTACGAAGTTCTACGTTGCATCTGACTAACTGACTGAATTTGCGAATATCTACTCGGACTGGCCATGTTTCGCAGCCATAAAGTAGGAAGAAGCGAAATGCTGCACATTAAACCAGTTCTTTGTTTAGCAGGCCATACCACATTAGCACAGGAATGTAAATGTCAATTCAAATCCCAACGTCGATCATGGTACAACTTCCTATCAGCTGTTTCAACTGGCAAAAATCTTTAGTGAATAATCTTTTAACTGAACTGTATCTTATATAGTCGATGATCTTTATCATACATAACGTAAAACTTGACGTGCGTCGGTTTGGACTGCCCTACCACATTGACAGCGGGATAAAATTGTCAAGACATTCTAGAGTGATAAAGTAGTAACAGCATCATTAGTAGTGAAAAAAAGACTAGATATAGGGAGAGGAAAAAGGTATAAGATTGCAGAACTCAGGTTATAAAATAGGCAATAAGTGAATGTACCGATTGAATGTACCTTGATTGTACCTTCACCCGTGCGAACGACTGTGAGCCACGAAACCAAAATTCCCTAACCATTGATTACGATAATTACGTGAACTTCAACCGGGTTTTCTGCACCTGTTAACATGCCTGAATTTAACTGTTAGTGACTGCATGGATTAGTCTCAAGTATTTGTTTGGTCGTCCCTAACCTTCTTCTAATCCGCTTTAACACCAGACATTTTCTGTCAAGACAGGCAGTTGTTAGAAATACTATCCACTCTTAATTTAGATTCAACTAGTGGACAAAATACGAGGACAATTTAAAAGATATGCACTTGCACTTTAGTTACCTATCACCTTGAAGCAATCCAAATGGCTAGTTGACATAAGACTTTCAACTCCTGATGAAGCTGAAAAGGTTGGTCAATCTAAAGCACAGGGGCAGCAGACCCAGGTGGATAATTGTCGGAAATCCTTATTAATTAAAACGTTGTGCAGTATGACGCTTCATTTGTGTGACGCATTTTTAGTCTACTGTAATTACCAATAAAAAATTGTTAGTATTTTTCAAGTGTTAGTACGACCAGTGATTATGGCTAAGATGAAACTAGTCCAATTTTATATCCTACTTTCTAATGCGTTACACTTCAGGATGTAATTTAGGCAGTGAGGTTAAACGGCATTTTCCTTGGTGCTTGATTATGTGCATAAGTCAAAATACTAGTATATAAACAGCGAAACTTATGACTATATCCACTTAGGCAGCAAGAAATATGAGAAGCGAACCGTAAGTAGTCAACTACGTTCCAAAAGAAACTGAATTAGTAAGGGTTACTAGCGTATTAAAATTTGGCGAGTCCGACAAATGTAATGGTACACAGAATAGTATGAAGATAAACTTTAGTTTGAATCCGGAATAAGAAGTAAGCATCACACAATGAACGATAATTAAAATATAAGGATGAACAAGAGGACGTCTGAACTGTTATGATTGGTGTTGAAACAATTTACAATTAGGACCATATGGATGGTTAAAATAAATCGTGATTCACTGACAGCAAATGAGCATGAGATGCACTTGCAATGAATATACGAAGTACGATATCACAAAACCTGAACCATGACTGAGACATACAGGGGGAGAAGACATGTACAAAACCAACAAAATAATCACAATCTAGTGGTGCGAAATAGATACCAAGACTATCAAATGCTTACCAGAAACTCCATCACAAACTGTTTGTTTCCCTCGAAATGACTCATAAGAGCGTGTCGACGGTTCATTCCTAACCGAAGAGCACTACTATTCATCTACAAGTGCATTAAATTAACACATTCTCTACCTCTTCAGGAATAAACTTTAAAATATCAATCAAGTAACTGCATGAGACGTCCGTCTCTGTCAATCTGTGGAAGCACTTAAAAACATACTCAGCAATTACTTCGAAACAATATCTTTGATTCCATCTTTCCATTGGACCATATGACAAAACAAATCTGCGACAGCCAGGCACAACTGATTTGCTATCGGTAGGCTCGTGTTTTCTCTAAGCTTCCGGACGTGTTGAAGTAGAGAGTTTTTCAGTCCCTGAAACTATGCTAGATAGAGCAAGAAAAGATACCTCGTGCGAATCCACTGGAAGTTCAGTGAAGTGACATTGAATCTTAAAGCATTAGCAATACAAAAACACAGTATACCTTTTTACGTATTGTTTGAGCTCCAAAGTAACATGAATTTAAATCTCTATTCATGTATAGCAACTGGTCAGAAATTTGCCAAGCGAAAACCTGAAAAATCATATAGGCAGAGAAATTTACCGATTTTTGAAATTCACAGAGCCACTTTGAAGCCTGTTCTTTGATAGATGTATCTGGATTCATATACAAAGCATCAATGGCAGATAATACAGACTCAACAGACAGAGTGGGACCCTCAACCATCCTTGCTTAGTTATTTTTAAATTACGCACGACCTTCCTAGTCATACAACGTGCCAATGCTGTGGTTATGTATTACAGCACACTAAGAAGTGAGATGATGCCTTTTATCCATTCTCTTATACCAAATTCAATTGAAACGTTTCCTGATGATGAGGAAAGATACCAAAAACATGGATTTATTTGCATTAGTTTGAAATAGTGTTAATTTGTGAAAGCATTTCAGGACTATTCTAATCGTCCCGAAATACCTACTCATTTAAAAAAATTTTATGACGTGGTAAAATTAAAGCGAAAGCGTCATAAATCGATCTGCAGAACGTAGTGAATTTGTTCGGAACTTCTTCGTAACGAATGTTCCAGTAGTATTGAACATGTTTACGCACAATTGCTAAACTGAAGACATTATTCGAGAAGTATAATCCAGTGAAATAGATTTGAGAAAAGAAAGATAAAGGTAATGGGGAATTGAGAAGATTAGAATTTGAGAGAACGCAAACGACTTTGAGTCATGTCATTCAAGGTCCCTAGCCATCGATCACCATCATTTCGCCCACCCCAACCAGGTAGTCTACATCAACCGAGCTTATTCCTTGTGTCAGTGACTTCATGAATATGTTCCGTGTTTCTGTCTGGTCTCCCTAGATCAGTGAAGCGGTCGACACGTTCATCTTCAAATAGCTGGTCCGTTTTATAAATGGTGTATTCTTTAGTTTTGGTCGAGATTAGAATAAAAGTTGTTCCTATGTACGTGAATGGCAACAGACTATCTGCTCTCTGTTCGTTCGGTTATGTCGCCAGTTCTTCTTATGGATTCCTATCCATTAAATAAACCTTCTTCTTTTTAACTGTTGTCTTATGTTTTCATAGTTTGTTGATCATTGTTCGTTCTGGGGCACATGTTTAAATTCAGATCATGCCCTAGTGCGAGCGCGTATTTGGGCGTAGGAAAGACACCATAAGAAAGCCTCTTAGGGTTTTACTTAATGATAATAAAGCAACTAGAAAGCGAGTTAAGCATATCATGTAAGCGATTCGCATCCGGAAGCAGGTTGGAATGAAATCAAAAAGGCTGTGCAAACAGCAGTGATATCTGCTATGGAGGTAAACCATAAATTTAGAATGAAGCCGTGGATCTCAGTAGCATCTACCGAACTGATGGATGCTCGAAAACTCATCCCGCCTGAATCTGGGTGAGATCGGGAGAGGAGTCAGCTTAGACGTAAGCTGACAAACAGCATGCGCAATGATAGAGAGCACTGGTGGATGGCCGAAACGAGTGAGATGGAAAAGGCAGCAGCGATAAGCAACAGTAGACAACTACTCAGACTCGTCAATGAAACCGTGATTAGGGGTCCGAATTTAAGTGAAACTATCTCGGAAGATGATGGGCTTATGATTGATTGTCAATCCAGGAGATCGGATGATGCGCATAACACTTCAGGGATCAGTTCAAATGGCCTTCAGCCAGACTTCCGTTACCCACGGTCTCCGGTCAACCTGAGTGGCAAAACGATGTATGTCCTCCAACTCTTAATGAACTTGAAAAAGCTATAAGAAATCTAAGGTGAGGGAGAACAGCAGGACCTGATAGATTGACATCTGGGGTTTTAAGGGTGGAGGTCCAGTTTTAACAGTAAGATTGGCTTAAAACTTAGGTAAAACCTGGGAACTGGGCCTAATCACACCTGCTTGGTCTCAATGCTTGATTGTCCCAGTTTGAAAGAAAGGACAAACTTGCTCTTGTGACAATCACAGATGAATCAGTCTAACCAATATAGTTTCTAAAATATTGGCCTCGATAATATTTCAACGCTTAACTGGAGCTCGTGAAAATAAGGCTAGAGAAAACCAGGCTGGTTTTCGACCCTGACGTGGATGTATAGACCAGATATTTACACTAAAACAGGTCCCGGAACACAGGCATAGGGAGTGAATCACTTGAGCGTGTAGAGAGTTTCACTTATCTGGGGATTTTCATCAGTGCTAATGGCTTGGTGTGTGACGAAATCTCAGCACGGATACAGAAGGCTGGACTGGCTTTTGCCAACATGCGTCACTTATGGAGCAAACAATATATCCTTTTGCTAACCAAAGGTCGAGTGTACTGTGCGGCAGTTTGCTCCGTCAATCAGTCAGATGCAACGTAGAAATTTGTACGTAAGTACATCAGTTCATCTTGCCATATCTCATCAGCACAGAGACGTAATTGTCAATTCAAATCCAATAGTAGTAGAGGTAGTAAAAGTATTAGAAATAATCGGAGAGTACGTTCCGTTCTCCTATATGGATGCGAAACATGGCCGGTAAGAGTAGAAGACATTCGTAGGTTATTAGTATCCAATTATAGATGATTTCGAAGGATTGCTCGTGTATCCTTGCACAGCGAAGAAAGCAATGCTGTCGTTAGGAGACGAGTACTAGGCGGGGATGGCAGGTCAATATATGAATTAGTGAAATTTCATCAGTCGATGTGGTTGGGACATGTGTTACGAATGCCCAACCACCGACTGGCTCCATGAGCAATGTTTTGTGGTGTAGGAGTAGGTTGGAAGGAAGCTAGAGTCGGCACAAATCCATGATGTCACTGACAACTGGACTGAGTCATGTTGGTAGATGCAGACTACCTGGTTGGGGCTTGCGAGATCATAGTAACTGATGGTTGGAGAGGTTGAATTAGGTGGCTCAAAATCGTTTGCAATTGCGCCGGTGAATCCACTCTTTGTGTTCTCGTAAATTCTAACCTTTCGAATCCCTCATCATCTCTATCTTTCTCTTTCTAAAGTTATATCACTGAACCACACTTTTTGAGTAATATATTCGATCTCAAATGTTCTCCACCATTAATAATTCTTCTATTGTCTTCATCGTGATTGGATTTGAACTGACGGTGGCTTTTCTGTGCTAATGCGGTATGACAACCTTAACTTATGTACTCATGTACGAAGTTCTACCTTGTAATTGACTGACTGACTGATTAGTCATTTTTGTATATTTTTTGTTTGTAATGTCTCCAATTCTTGGTGGAACTAGTGTTTTTGTTGTCAACTTCTCATTCTTGTTACTAATATATTATATCTTGGTGCCCTTTGGATGCTAGTTGAGGACCTGATTGGTGCTGAGAAATACATTACGCGTGTTTCACGTTTGTCTTGCTTAATCATTCTGCGGCCACTGCTCAACATTTAGAGCATAAAACTTCTGATTATATTTTGGTGCTGTGATTTCGACACTGTTCACTTTTAATCTTTTTGAAATACATTTCTTGAACTTTTTATAATTAACCCAGATGCTTTTTTGTTCATAACTAAGTTAATACAAGCATATAGTGAGGGGTATAATCTTGAACCCTTTACTTTGCTTCTTTAAGGCCAGTCGCCAATGGAACCAGGTAGATGTACTCGGCCACAGGTACGTGAGACGTTAGTCTCGTTCTTACTTCGTATTTGAGAGCTAGAGACTGCGATCTTATCCAAAATCAAGGGCCGCGTGGTCTACTGCTCTGGACCTGAGACCAGACTCTCATCTGCAAATAGTTCAGATGAGAGGGCATGTCAAATTAGGTCTCTGGGATGGTGGAGAAGGCTCAGGTATTGTGAGAAAGACGAAATAATACATATTGCAAGTAAACTGTTAAACTCAGCGTAAACTAATGTGTCCAGTGCCAGTCGGCTAGGTTTTTCGGTGACTGGGGGGTCTGCAGTTGACGATATGGTTTACCACATTGGGGAATTTATCAAATACAACATAAAACAAATTTTCGTCCGAAAATATACACCAGTTGTTCAGTACATATTTGTTGGTGCGTTAAAAAAACTTGAAATTAATATTTGGCGAAGTATCGATTAAATTCAGCCCATGTGAATCGAAAAGCGATTCATAAAGCTGTAGGGAACCGATATCGAGAACGGCTATGGGAACAACGTCCATAAATACTGTCGTCGATTGTTCAGGTTGATTATCACCTGTCGTGTACCATTAGCGGGAATGACTGAGCCTTTCGCAGCGCGCAGGTGAAGCGTTGTGGCTTCAGACTTTCTGCTACCAGACGATACGACAGAAACTTGGACACCTGTGGCCAATAGGTAGCTAGCGTTAGTGCGAAAAATGTGCACTTAAAATAAACGAGCAACCTGAAGTGACTGAAAGGGGAGAGATGATAATGCAATGACCTACACCCCGGATCTTAATAAATAATAGCAAGCCACAAACCGGTATTCATACTAGTTATCGCTAATAAATTTAGCGTCTAAATAAGTATTCAGATAAACACCGCTATAAAATAAAGATCTGTGGCTCTCATTTCCCTCTTTAATATTTCGTTAACACATAAATGACTTCGTCTCAAGTATTTATGCCTAAAAAAATCATTGACCGGTATTGTTGTACTGAGTGTCAAAGCAATGTTACTGTGTGAATTAGGTGGATTCAGAACTTGAACTATTTTAAAATTGGAATGTTGACTACGTTTACTCAGACAGTTAGCAGTAATGAACTGAATAGCAAATAAAGATGATGAATTCGTTTTGAAGTTTACTCCCGTCGAACCTATTGAACCAATCTGTGCATTCAGTTTTTCCTGTCATGACACTATGCTTCAAGTGATTTTATCTAATACTATGAAGATACTTGGCAGTTTTGATAGTCCATTAGTATCGTCGTAAGGCTGAGTGGTTGTATGGTGTGCAATGAATGTATGAAAGGAACTTTGTTGTAGTAAGACTCTTGAGGAAACTGATATTCATAGTTAAACTTGAAGACGAAGCTGTATGACGTAGTCGGCCTAAAATCTATCATCATCGCCTCACAGTAAAACGTTACGGAGAGCCACATTTTTTCATAATTCTAAATAGCTGCCTTCTTTAGAATTGCCCTCAAAGACCGAAGATTAATCCTGTATACAGTTCGAGTGATGGATGATAACTGATGTCAGTGTGAGTTGAAGTGCCGATGTATTAATGACGTTATAAGTATTTGTGGTTTGAAAATGCTTTCTACCTAAAATTTCTCCCAATAAGAATACGTAAACGTCATGAGTATGATAGAAGGAAGTTATGTTTGAATGATGGTTAAGATGTTGAGAAACGAGTAATATGTGCCAACTATTTGATGCGGGAGCATTCACAGCATGAAATATCCAATGATTTGGATGTGTGAGCAAGGATTTGTCCACAGCCGATGATTGACGGAACTATAAAACTGGTGAATTTATTAGCAATAACAATGCCTGCGGTAGACAAGCGGACAGTAACTACAATAACAGAAGGTTAAATGAAAAGTATAACTGAAACGACCCCACAGTCCTTTCAGTAACACTGAATACAATGAGACAGAAACCCCTGACAATAGTTCGTCTTTTCGTCAAACATGATTCTCAGATATCATGTCTGAATGCGATAGATTTTTCGACTAAAAATGGTTTAAGTAAAGATGGAGTATCGCGTTTGATCACATGAAAAGTAATCTAGGACACGGCCATTAAATTCTTCATGTGACGTGCCCTCCATATATTAGGTCGAAAACAACCTAAGAAGGTTGTACTCGAACATCAAGGCCTTGTATCTCGAGTGTGTAAATATATATTTCATTTGATGTTGTTAAATTGGTGGAGGTTTTGAAACACTCAGTCAAAAGTTTCACGGCTTTGTTGGATATTCACCCACTGGATATTTATTAGCTTATTGGATAACTGCAATACGTCAATAAGTATTTAGATGTCGAAATCTTTGAATTATGATTTAAATTTATTTAGGATATATATTTTTATGTTCTTCATACGTGAGTTTTTTTTTGTAGATCACGTACATATTTGTTTAACTATTTGCATTACTCTCACTTTCAGGTTTTGAATTGTACGGATCTGCTCCCACATTCAAATTGTGAGTTCACGCGGCAATTCAAGTTGCTCATAAGTGGACGTTAAATTCATTTTTTAATGATAATCTCATGTATTCTGTTGTCTTGACATCCGATGCTATCAGGGCATCTATGTGTTCACACCAATCACCTCACCTTCCTTTTTACTGCTGCACTTCAGTTCCATGACTCAGCCTCCCGTCAGTGTAAGGCTAACACTTCCGGCAAAGCAAAATTTCCTTGGCGGATCAGGACTTGTGCAAGTACTACAGGCTCAGCCATGTTCAGAGGCTCAAGCTGTCATTCAACAACGGTCTCAGAACTTGAAGCCTTTGACTACTATTCGTCCGTTTGTCCCGACAGTTCCTGGTATGGCAATCAATACTAATACGGCCGTACAATATGTAAGAAAACCTGCAGAAATATCTGGTATGTTCACTCATGTTTCTCTTGATGCGTGCACTTATGCAACTGACTTTTTCGACAGTCGAATGCATTCGTGCCAGTAAACTCTTTATAGCTCTTGTTTAACAGTAATTGTTTTCACTGTTATGTATAAATTATGTAAACTATTGACTATTTATTTAGCGCAGAGAATGATAGGTTTCTATTAATTGACTTTCCTCAGTCGTAATACTGACGATCAATAAATAGTAATGTTGTTGTGGATGCAGTACACTCACAAATGTTAGTGCTCGTATTCATCCGCACATAGTGTGTTATTCTTCTGCAAGAGAAAGTTTCCGCTAGAGACCATCTGTAATTATTTTGTCTAAAGGTTTTGTGCTAACTACGTGGTACTATTCATGTGTTCATCTGTTTCGAGGGTTTCTATTTTGAATACTGCTTTTTAGGCAGTTACTTTTGGTGACAGCCTTAAATCACCGAACCCTCTTCGAAGATCAATAATATATATTTAGCGTTTTAGCTTCTGACGATCCTTCCCTTCATATCTAAATGTTGCGTTAAAGTTTATGGTAACGAAATTTGCGGTACATTGTAGTTTTCCTGTTACAAATAGACCTGATTCATTCTCTGTCAATATTACTGTGTCAAATAGTATGTGTGAATAATTTTATGTACAGGACAGTTTGTCATTTTGAGATCATTGTTTTCGCAATGTGTTACGAACATAGTTAAACCTCGGTCATGGTTTTGTGATTTGTAGGCTGGAGGTAACTAAATAGGCAAATTGTATATATATATATATATATATATATATATATATATATATATATATATATATATATATATATATATATATATATATATAGAAATTGAACGTTGACTGTTAATTTAGTCCTAATTCGTAAGCTTACTCATATGTTCTTCCGTCGAATTTTCCAGGTCATCAATTTTGATTAACTTTCTTGCTTCTGTATTCAAACTTAGTAATTTTGTTAGTGTCTAGATCAAATTGAATATCGCTACGTCGCAAAAAGTACGGCATATATTAGCTAGCATAAATATTTTTGGGTTGTCAGTTGCACTATGTTTCCCGTCTTTAATAGCTAAATAGACTTATTACGGTATATGACTGATGATAACTCACTGGAATACACAATTGAAGTGTTCTGGTTATATCACTATACATGGCCAAGAGATCAACTGTTCAACTAGGAACGTGATGTGACCGATAGATTTTTTGCAATTTATTAACCTTGATATGAATATTTTATTGTGACTGCTTGGCTTTTACTTTAGTTTTGGGTGCAACAGGTACATTTGTCGCTACGCCGATGAACCAAACGTTTACTCCTTTTGTAAATCCGATCATGAATTTGAACCCTAGCTTAATGTCATCTATTCCGGGCGGTCCCACGGGGGGTCCTGGACAAATGAGTGGTTTAAGTGCTGCGAGTGGTGTTCTTTCAAGTCTAGCGAATTCCCGCAAACCGTGTAACTGCACAAAGTCACACTGCCTAAAGCTCTATTGCGAATGCTTTGCACAAGGACAGCTTTGTCAAAATTGTAACTGCAATAACTGTATGAATAACCTAGCCTATGAGGAGGAGCGCGGGAGGGCTATTAAGATGACTCTAGAGCGTAATCCCACAGCATTTCATCCGAAAATTGGTCGTGGAGAAGGTGAAAGAAAGCACACTAAGGGTTGTAATTGCAAGCGATCAGGATGTTTGAAAAACTATTGTGAGTGTTATGAAGCAAAGATAAGCTGCTCTGATTTGTGTCGTTGTCAAGGATGCCGCAATACAGAGGATAGCGTAGAAAGGCGCTCACTGATGCGCTTGGCCGCAATGGGAGCTTTAAGATCAAGGCAACCATCTTCTTTCAAAAAGCATTTGGTGAAACCTCCCTCCGAAACGTAAGTTTTAGCGTAATGTATTTTGAATAACACAGCTAAATGGTAAATTCACCGTACACACCAAGAAAAACTAGTTTTATAGCTAATTTCAGACGGAACAACTGATAGTATTTGAGCTGAGATCCAAACGTGAAACTTTCACAAATATGTATTCGATACACATCTAAACACTTTGTAACCAATGTTGCCAGCTTGGATTACGAAAAAGCATAGTTTAATGCATGTAAAGTCGAAAAGATACGTGGTGATGTTATCATATTGTTGTGATGATAAAATAGTTCCCCATCGTGTAAAGTACCATTAGAAAGTAGCAGAGTGTAAAGCTCTGACTAGATATAGGTAAAGCTACATCTACAATCCTTTAGAGCAAAGAATGTAGGGTCAGTAATGTCACCAACAATCTCCATTTTTATTCAATATGTTTTTAACTCAGCATTTCTCATACGAGTACTATATCTGTATGATGATAGTAAGTATCGCTGTGCGTTTAGCAAGATAAGACACTAATTATATATATATATATATATATATATATATATATATATATATATATATATATATATATAGGTGTACCTGCCAGTTACTCAGTCCTTTTAAGATTAGTTTTTGTCGTGAACTATTTTTCACATTATTTAAATCAATTAGTCACTTGAGTAAATTTGGATAATGTGATAAATATTCTTAACAAGTATATGTGTGATCGGATTGTTCGACGTGCATCGCAATAATATATTGTAATAATATTATTTGTCTAGTTTTTACTAAGTACACTGTTCTAGGGATCAGTCAGTCAGTCAGTTGCAACGTAGAACTTCGTACGTATGTACATAAGTTCAAGTTGCCATACCACATCACCACAAAGACGCAAATGTCAAATCACATCCCATAGTGATAAAAATAGTAGAGGTATTAATGGTAATGAAGAAGACTAGGGTTTGAAGATATTATTCAAGAAATATAATTCAGTGAGATAAGGTTAGAAAGACATAGGTAGAGATGCTGACGAATCCAGAAGATTAGGATTTGAGAGAGCTCTAAGAATGGATGCACTTGCGCCAACGATCCCTCGTCCTATAGATCGTTTATTTCCAAATTGCCTGAGTGATTGATTCATGCACATCCACCCAAGGTAGTACGTAAATATTTCACTGAATCTTCAGATTAAGCGATTAAGATATGTGTTACATGTGCCCGACTACCGCTTAACTAGATGGACGATGTCCTGCCTAGTAGTAGAATGAATCAAAGAGGGACCAAAGTACGACACAGCATGGGTTCACGAAGTCACTGACAATTGAGCTGGATCATGTTAATAGACATCGGCTACTTGGTGGTGGTCTATGAAAATCGTTACCAGTGGTTGGAGACTGCATGACAGGAGTTAAAATCACTTGCAATGGTGCAAATAGATTCCATCTTTGTTTTCCCCTAAAACTTGTTTTGGGATCTCCCCGTGATTTTTTTAAAAACATGTAATCTATACTATTACTAATACCTATAATCTTTATTACTCTGAGATTTGAAAATGTGGCATTTCAACTTGAACCAATGCATATGTTTGTTAGGTTAAACCTACTGACTAAATGCAACGTCCATCAAGATGTGGCTACAACAACCCTTCAAGACAAAGTTGTAATATTTAGACGCATATCTCAATGTACGAAAGGTGTTACAAACGTGTGACTGATGGAAAGTATCACCTCTTCAATCGACTAATTCTCTTACCATTACATATTAAGAAAAGTCTACATTGATACTGATAAGTCCCCACAACTGATATCTGTACACTAATCTGAAAACCCGATAATGTCCCCAGCCTCATGACAAGTGTGGGCCGCGTTACTTTCGTAAAATGATTTCACTATCAGTCTTTAAGCACTGAACAAACCTTGGACGTTAGTGATAAGCTTGACCCCCACACTGGCGTCTCAGTATCGGCAATTATCAGTCTTCATATAGTGTGAATATAGAATGAGTGCAGAATAAACCAAACGTTCACAATTTTCCGGATGGTATTTCACGTATATTAGGACTTTTGTGCATAGATTTTTAATCAGATTTGTTGCCCGTGCGAAGCCCGTTTTGTGTTGGTTCAACTTTCTCATTATGGCAACATTTTTGATATGTATTAACTAAGGCGCATATACCCCCCAAAACACTGTTCAATAACGTATTTAAATTGCACGTTGCTGATCGTAATGTGATATAACAAAACTAGAAATCTTTGAGCAAATAACACTAACGACCTCGCTTGTTCATTTTTAAGAGGAATGAATCATAATCAGCCAATACCAAACCTTTACATCCCCTTCGGTTTTTTGTTTGAGAAGTCATTTGGACTGTGCAATGACTTCAAAATTTTAAACATATTCTGACCAACCAAACAATACTACAGTTGTTCCTCTGAGTCATAAACGATCTACAGGATAATATTTGTGTAATTTTCAAGACCTTTTATGCTTAATTTAGCTTACCACATGTGTTCTTCACCTGGGAAGTAATCGAGGCAACAGCTAGTTGTTTATTAGCACAAGCTGATGAGGCGGAACGTCGTGACTTACCTCCAGCAGCACAAGAACGAATAATTCTAGAAGAATTTGGACGTACGTTGGAACGCGTAATTGAGGCAGCTAGTAAGGTGAGAGTTTGTTATGTTTTGTACTCATTGTAACATCCCGCATTTTTCTTGAGACTTTTTATTTTGACTCATCGTACAAATGTATCTTAATTTTAGGCACAAATACGATCGTCTAGTGGTATCCATACATCTGCATCAATTGATGATAATGATCAGGGGCTGATACACAGCGGTGGATCAACTGGCCCAGGTAGTCTTGGTGGGAAGGGCGGTGGTGCGGTCGGAGTTGCAGCAGCGGCTGCCGCAGCCGCAGATGTTCTACGGGACGATGAGGATGACGAAGACGAAATGATGCATGACATTGACGTGGAAGAAGATGATCCTGACGAAATGGATGATGAAATGTATGGTATTGTTGGTGGGCCGACGATCTCACGTCATGGACACTCTCGCTCTCATATAGGGCGCCGTCATATACCAAGCAGTCACCGGTCTACACATCTTGTTCCTGAGTTAGATGATGACATGATGAGTGACGAAGATCCAGTCGAAAGAGCCCATGGTGGATCATCAGGTGCTAGACAGGGGATTATGTCGCATAGGTATCAAGAGATACATTCTCGTCGGACATCGCAAACTGTTGAAGACCGATATACTCATCCTCGTCGAAGTATGAGCGGTCGCAGTTACCGTCATCATGACCCGGACTCGATGGTATAATCTATAATTCATCTTACTTTCTGTATGACAATGCCCATACATTTGTAAAGTAACTAAACATTTTGTATACACAAACCACACCGAAATATCATTAAGTTAGTGTCCCCCTCTTGCAATTTATGAATCAACTACTGATATATTAAACAATGTGTATTTTTTGAATCTGTATAATACATTATATTTTACAAGCGTATTTTCGTTTTATTCGAGCATTAGGTTGGTAAACATAAGCTTACCGACGCGCACGTAATTTTCACGCTCTTCTTTAGTCATTGACTTTACCATTGCTGAAGTTACATCTGTATACAACATTAGTTGTCCCTTAATAGTAACCTCGAACTTCTTCGGATGAGAATCCACAGATGTATTTCCTAGAAAGAAAAAGAACGGAACTTTTGAAAGCAGCTAGTTCAATAAGAAGGCAAAAACAAAATTACCAGCAATAGTTCATTCCTCCCACCGAGTTCTAACTCAACGGGAGCTGCTAAGACGACGAAGCGGTCAGGCTTGCCTCTGGTTATCAATCAAGCAAGCTCTATTGGATGAAACATATGTTCCTTCAGGTCTCGCCATGCTGTTATGGATGATTGGAGAATGTCAACAGTAAAAGCATAAATCTAAGGTAAGATGGAGAATTTATACTGCTGACTGTGTGACAGCAGTAAGGTGTCAGCCCTCTGAGAACCAAAATCTGAAACGAAGCTGCCTTCTAATAACCGTACGAAAGAGCAAGCAATGGTAGAACATGCTGTAAGGCCCTTGGAAGAGCGAAGCCAAAACGTTGATAAGGCCATGCGCGACCGTAACGCTTCCTGGTCGCTAAGATCAACATTAATTCAGCTTCGTTTTTGGTCCCTCAGGAATAGATATTTCAATAGCAACTAGAAAAAGAGGTAGACGGCCGTGTAAGCCATTCTCACCTCGAGGCAGCTAGGAAGGATATACAAAAAGCTGTGAAAACACCAGTGATTTCTTCTAGTAAGGTAAACCACTGAGGAATCATAGCGTTTAAGAAATTGGCTTCAATAATACTTGGATGACTAATCAGAGCTTGTGAGAGCAGACTCGATAATACCAGGCTGGTTTCAGAACTGGATATCTGTATAGACCAGTTATTCACACTACGTCAGGTCCTAGAACAAAGACACAAGTTCAGACGTCCCACAGTTGTTGTATTTATCGAACTTAAGGCGGCATTCGACTCCGTTGATCGTGAGGTTCTGTGGCAAAGTTTGTCATTAAAAGGTGTACCAAAGTACATTAACTTTATAAAGTCTCTATTCGAACATTACTGACCGGGGGAGTATTTATGGCGTACTGTCGTCAGAACTGATTATTTCAAGTGGTGTTCGTCAAGGTTATTCGCTCCCTCCATTCTTATTCAACTTTACTATAGATCTTCATTTAGAGACAACACTCTTCGCCTGACTTAAGGAGTTGAACGGCTACTATGGGACTCACTTACTGACTTAGAATATACCGGTGAAATAGTTCTATTTGGTGAATATGATGGCAAAATGCAGTGTCTCCTGACTACCGTAAGCAACAATGCAAGCATATCTGAGATGCGATTCTCCTTCTCGAAATGCAAAGTGTTGCTTCAGGATTAGATTGCATCGGCACCTGAACTATTGATAAGGAGTGAAGCAGTTCAGTGTCGACCGCTCCACTTATCTCGGGAGTCTGATCAGTGCTGCTGGCCTGGTTACTGACAAAATCTCAGCACGGATACAGACGGCTCGATTGACTATTGCCAACTTGCGTTATTTGTGGCGTAGGCGAGATATCCGTCGACCAACCAAAGGAGGGGTTTCCTGTGCATCAGTTTGCTATGTTACACTGGACGGGTGTGAAACATAGCCGATAAGAGTAGAGAATATTCATAGGCTATCATCGGTGTCTTCGAAGCATTGCTCGTATATCCTGGGATAACCGAGTAAGCAATGAATTTGCTAGGAAAAGGGCACTAGATAAGGATGGAAATTAAATTGAAGTAGGGAAACTTCATCAGTTGAGGTGGTTGGGACATGTTTCGCGAATGCCCGACCGCTCACTGCCAGATGAGCGATGTTTCGTGGTGTAGGTGTAGGTCGGAGAGAAGCTAAAGGGCGACCAGATTAAATCATGGCACATATCCATGAAGTCACTGACAGCTGGATTAAGTCATGTTGGTGAGTGTCCACTACCTGGTTGGGGCCGGCGAGATGACAGTAATCGGTGGTTAGAGACCCTGAATGACATAGCTCAAAACCGTTTGCAATGGCGCAGGTGCATACACTCTTTGTGTACTCCCCAATTCCAATCTTCTCAATTCATCATCACCTCTATCTTTCTCTTCTCAAATCTATTTCACTGGATTATACTTTTTGAATTATACCTTCGGACCGTGATCTTTTCGATTACTGCTGATACTTCTACAATTGCATCTCTGTGCTAATGTGGTATGGCAACTTAAACTTATGTACGTACGTATTGAGTACTACATTGCAGTTTTGGGAATTTTACTCAGATCAAGTTTTTCGACAAATATCCTGCAAGGGTTCATTAGGTAACATCAACTAATGAAATTTACAATACAAAGTTATATCCTTTGAATATCCTCCTAAAAAAGATTGACTGTTCCGTTTTTAAAAGCAATATACAGAAAGCTAACCTGGTAATACTAGTTTAAGATCTGAATAGTTGGATTCTGTTGAGCAGGAAGTGAAGCGTGATTTATTGTCTGTGCACGAGGATTAAAATAGTTGTGACAATGACAAATAACATAGAACTAGACAGGTTACGTAAAATATCTATCAGTAATGGCGATCCCCCCGGGATTCATTCACAGGAATTTTAAGCAGAGAGACTTTATAAGAATATACGCATGGAGGGAAAGATCTTGAGAAAAAACAAACTCATGGCCTTCGAAAATGGTATCTTAAACTAGTAAACTTTCACTTACATCTAGTCTTTCATGGATACGCGAAAGACGAGATTTTGATTCAGGTAACATCAGTGCCTATCTGTAAGTTTATTTGCACTTGTGGAGGAAGTCATATCAAAAAAACATGATCGAAACCTTACTTTATCATGGTCTTAATTCCGTACTCATCTTCCGTATTCAATAAACTATTGTTTCTTCCTTATCACCTCACAATTACTAATTAGCTATTATTACATTTAATTGTTCTAAACAACTTTCCGAAATACCGTCATCCTGACAGTTCACCATTAGCTTTTACATAATTTCCTTTATATGGTAGATATTTTCAAACAATTTATGACACAATACTACCATATGTTCACAATTTTTTTAATATTATTTCAGTTGACAATTACATTGCATTTGCATTTTATTTCCCCATGGATCTACTACATAATTTCTTGACAGTTGAAAGCAATTTCAACCGCTTTTTATAATACCATTTTTTATTTTATTCTAAGACTTATTTGGTCTAATTAACAAAAGCAGTACGGTTTTACAGCTTTATTAAATGATGTCGTCGAAAAAAACTTTAGCTGAATTACCTTCATTTCTATTCCAGTTACTTAATGGGTTTCTTTTACTATTCAATCAATTTTTATAAAAAGCAAATTTCTAATTTAAACTAACCAAAACTTACCTGTAGTAACTATGGGATCTTGTTGGGAAAGCGTAGTTTTGTGTGCATTATTGCGACCTATAGAGGAAATAGTAATATTAGTAAATACTGAAGTTACTAATAGGATGTTCACAATATTACTGATAGTAAACTGACCTGCAACATTTACATTTTTAGGAGGGTTCTGCGTAGGTAAACTGCGTCTCTCATGAACCAAAAGTAATTGCATAATATCACTAGACGAAGCGGAATTGGCTCCACTAGTTGTATTTGTCATTAGATTAGTTTCTGATGTAGCAGTATCCACTAGTCTGTTATGAGAAAGACTAGTAACGGAATTGGACACGTTACTACCAAATCCGGAAGGCACTCTCCCAGGGGCAAGAGTCTGAGTGATGGTGTCTTCAGAAGTACGGTTTGGATGAAGGTCGGATGCGTTTGAAAATATATTCACTTGTGAATCAGTATCCCCGATTCCTGAAGAGTATAGGAGGTGAAATTAATTTGCCATAAGTAGAGTGAATAAAACGACTGATAAATTGGAAATTAGAGTTGGGACACAAAATTAGATCTGTACTTTAAACTTAAGAACAGTGCTTTTTGGTGAATTCAGTCAGACATAATCACTGAATATGTAACTATAAACTATATCAAGTCTCTACGATCAATGAATATAAAATGTGTTTTTAATTCTGGTTAGCGTAATTTCAGATAGTCTGGAAGAGAAAAAACCAGCTTCTAGCATAAGAAGAAATTAGGAAAAAAAAGCTGGAGATGGACAAGACACACCCGATTTTGTCACGAGGCAATCCCTGACCGGGAATCCTCGAGGCCAAAGGAAAGGAGGCAGACCAAAGAACAAATTGTGTTGGGAATTAGACACAGGAATAACAAGGATGAATAGCAATTGAGGACAGCTGGGATGGAGATCCTAGGACAGAGCTGTTCGGAGAATCTTGGTTTGCGAAATATGCTGCACCAGAGATAAGAGGCGTGAGGATAAAAAGTAAATGTTTTTACTACGTTATTAGCCACTAAAAAATGAGGTTGAGGTCAATAATATAACCTAACAATGAGTAACACTTGCCATGTGCTGGGTTGAGACTAATGGTACTGTCAGACATCCATATTGGTCTTTCTTTGACTACTTGGTTCGATCCGCTTGAGTTTCCGCTTAGTACGATTCGAACACTGCTTTCAGTTGGACCAAACAGAGAAGAGTCTTTTTTATTTTTATCCCCACAAAGAATAGGATTCCTACCAACATTCTGAGAGGAAGTTTGTGATCCATCATAGGTCTCCTGATAATAATAAAAAAATATTTGCACAGAACTTGTGTTATTTTCGAAATTATCGTGATGAAATGATTAACTGAATACCCGAAACGTAAACATTATACGCAACTTTTCGATTTAAAGTGACTTTACTTGCTAAAACTCCATAAACATAGAAAATGACTATACAGTATAGCATAAAAACAATTGTTTTGACCAAAATGAATCCAGTCAACTATGCAAATCAGTCGGGCGGCAACAACATCAGTCATCAACAACTATGCTAATAGCATAGTATGACGAATTATGCAATCCAAGCAAACCAAAGGAATTTTAGGGTCTTAATGGGACAAACGTTATATGAACTTGCGTTCAAAAAATAAATATCTTATGTTGGTATACTGTTTTATGGGTTAAAACTGTCTAATAAAGGCCATAATGCAGTTTCATTGAAACATGCATTACGGAAAAACAAATCGACTATATAGATCAAACAAAACACACATGTCTGTCATTAAGGCACGAAAGTAAGATGCTGACCAGTAATCCGTTTGCAGTGGACAACAAGATTGACCATTATTATACACAGTATTCTATAAGCATCAAACTATAAAATATTAGGGTGAACAATCTACAATAAAAAGGTCTGCGCATAAATAAATTTGATTACTTGTATCTTCCATGTCTAATCACTCATTACGAGAAGTCTAATATATCTAGTGGTCTATGAAAATACGTTTTAGTTCCATGATAGATAGAGTAGGCTGAGTAAAATAACGGACTTACATCATTTAGAGGTTCAAGTGGACGGATTTCTGGTTCGAGTATTGCAGGTGACAGGTGTATTTCATCACATTCACGGAGCATTAGATCTATAGGATCTCGGACCTACAATGAAATATTTATCTATAAATTCGTGAATAGTGCTTTTATAAAAAGCATACACGAAACAAGAACACGTACCTTGCGAAGCAAGTATGTCGGAAAGACAACGAGGTTTCCTACTAAGTTTTCTGCACACGTATCAAGGAATTCATGGCTGAATGAAAGCAAAATATTTACAAGAGCAACTAACCTCCTGGCACCTTCTGAATAGTGAACATAAGTTATGTGTACGAAATATTTAAGACAACCAACACTTTTGACCCGACCTATTCACACAAAAAGGAAGTGTGAGTAACCTTTTCTGCTATGGTAATTGGCTTATCAAATCATCTTTATTATATTTATCAACCCCATCCCCTTTTTTCATCTTCTGACATCTACATAGAAATTATGAAACCCGGAAGCTCTGGACGGCTGTTTCGTCCTTGTATGGGACTAATCAGCAGTGCGCAACCACGACTCTTGCCACTCCTAAGATTCGAACCCAGGACCTTCGGTCTTGCGCGCGAACGTTTAACCTCTGGACCACTGAGCCGACTTCCAACTGTGTCTGTCTGATATGTACCTTACATAATCCTACTTATGTTCACAAATATATCATGCTGAGTGATTACGCAATCAACTATTAATTTTATTACCCTCACTTTTATCTGTCTTATAATCATCGTAACACTCATTGTACCCTAAACTATTATTATCCGAGATACAGACACACATCGACCTTAACTGCGTTTATTCATACACCTTGCGTCCGATTCCTCGTCTTATGATGATTTCGGTTACGTTTTAAGCATTTACCTAAGCTTCACAAACCAAATTATGGTAAACATTTGTTGACAATCATATTATTGTGCAGATGAAGATAAGCCATAAAATGGAATGATTTCATTTTATTCTACAAATCTTATAGATTCTTGCCATGTTTATTAATTTTCTTGTTTATCACGGGATCTGGTTGTACAAAAATGATGTACGTTAATATCAATTTTTATTACTGAATACACATACAGCTGCTTAATTAGAACTGAGTTTTAGATTGAAATATTTTTAACCGGACTCATACTATTCTGAAGAGAAATCAGCTACTATTTAAAAGATTCTATAAGCTTCATTTGAAGATGATTTCCGGCACAGACTAATATCAGCTTGGAGGCAAACGAAAGCCAGGGTACGGTGGAAAACTGTCTTATCCTCATCTTCAGCACTGTTTCCCCTCAATGTGACCAAAGATTGAGTTCATTATATTCAGGTCTCATAGCTAGTGACCTCTAGAGCACTGATTGTGAGTTCAATGGTCCATATGCCCGATTTCAAATCGAAATGTACGGCGATTATAATTTAACGTCACTCTCAGGTAACTGACCACCACCTGGTTTGGTTGAACGTTATCTGTCACAGCGTTTCACTAAATCAACTATATTATTAAAAGTCATAGCAGTTTCCAAAAACAGTTAAGCAAACAAGGTCTTGGGCTTTTTCAAAAATTAAATTCTTCAATACTTTGTATAAAGGAAAAGTATTCAAAAAGGAGCAAAAGTATGATCCCTTAATAGTTTTTGTCCTCTGTTCGGTATGACCTCTTTACTTTCCATACAAATACTTTAACTACATGACCTGTTTGTCGTTTAAAACGTATTGCACTGAGCAGTCTTCTAACTACACAAACTTTATTAAGGGGAACAATTATCTCAAATATGTTTTCGCTGAATGCATAAATACAAATGAAGACTAGACCATACCTGATGGTGAAATTTCGCGATTAAAGCACGTGCATCTGTACGTGAAGCGTTATCTTCTTCCTCGCAAACTTCACCACGACAATACACACATACCAGTTTTCCTGGATTAGTAAAATCCATTAAGCGATCAACTTCTAAATCTGTATACGCTGTATTACAAGACGAACATTTGAAACTAGCCCGACTTGTTGACTGCCGTTGTTCAGCTTCTAATCGACGTTGCATCTGATCTAAACGATACTTGACTACATTGACAAACAGCTAAAAAAGTTAGGAAATGTGATATTTGATTATATATACAGAAAATCCGAATTAATTGATTATTCACAGGAATACTTAAAACTTTTGAACACAATATTAAATTATTTTAATTTAACTGTCCTTCAGACAAACTGGGACGATATTCTATAGATTTGTCAAGGAATTTCAGATCAATTATTCTAAACGAAGAATAATTTTGAAGAAGGTTTCGATAAGTATAATTTCCACTCTGGTTGTTCCGTCTGTCAATCTGTGACAACGACGGATCTAGGAAAAATGTGCACCATCTGAAGTTCTCACAATCGACAATAGCAGAGTGAGAGAAAATTGACACAGAGAGAAGTAAACGAGTCAGAATAAGGAATTAGCGAAGCACACTTTGAAATAAACGAAGGAAATTAAAGAAGTGTAGAGGATAAAATTATGAAAAAAACGGTGAATTAATGTAAACACAACCTCTTCTAGTCACGTAACTTAACGTCTCCAACCGCAGAACGTGATTTTTGGGTGGGTTGCAACTAAGAAGTCTGCACATTATTACTCCATAGACTGATAGTTTATCTTGGTTTGAGCGTCGTTAGCTTTCTTCCAATTAAATTCTAGTCTAACCATTATGGAATGTCGATAAAGATTTATGACCAGACTAATCAGTACTCCACTTATGTTTGGAACGTTAAGTATTTATTTGGTGATTGAAGAGTTAGGTTTTAAAACTGCAAACCTACGTCGGCTTCTATAACGGAAATGTATCTACAAGTAGTTATGTGCTAGTTTCTAGAATAATTGAGCTACTTTGCTACTGTGGAAGTAATGTCTAGTCAGTGGATGGTTCCTCAAAAGACCGAATTATTGATGCAACCCGTCAACTGAACAAATATCAGAAAAATGACAGCTGATGATTAAGAAGTTTTATTGTAAAAAAATGACATGCTTATAAACAAAAAATTCACACAAAGTTAACACTAGACGCCGTAGGCGACTGGAGTAAATCAGCTTGTTCAGTCACTTAACAATCAATTAAGATCTGACTGCTAGGCCTAATTCTTGGTCATGATATCAAAAGCCCTCAAATCAAAAGTAAAATTCAGAGCCTAGTAAATAAATATGTATTTGATGAATGAACTATGTTTTATAGCTCATTTTTCACAACCGTAAATTATTAAATATTGTAGTGCTGAGCGATGTGCTCGAGCTTTGCCTTGGACAGAGACAGCATAATAGACTGGAAAAAAGATTTAAATGCTGTTCATTTGTTTTGAGTTCTCGTCAGCCTTTTACTCAATATGGATGATGAAAGCGACCATAAAAAAGGCGATCAACAATTCAATGACTACTGTTACAAAACCCCCTCTTTAAGCACAATAGAATGGAACCTGTTAAATTCAAAATTGCAGCAATAGTCGGGAGTCGGTGGGTATACCAATATTTCAAGACTTGATGAATCGTAAATATTTTATTTGTATATATACGAACACACCTGAGACCTTATTTTTCTCAGATATGATATGCCCTGGAAACTGTGCTGATTAGACTTAGTTACAAGTGATTATACATCTTTTTGTTAATTTTATATATCAAAAAAAATTAAATTTTGTTAGTTAACTGATGGGATTGTGTCTAGCTCACGGACTCGACCTAAAGTTAATTAGTAAAGTTTAGTCTATAAGGCTTCTAACCTCTCGCTTAAAGTAACATTCTCCAAAACTCTATCATAAGTCATACTTACCTACTTACGCCAGGTACCCACAGTGGAACGAAGGCAGCCGACCAGCATTATTCAACCTACTCTGTCTTGGGTCATCCCTTTCTAGTTCTGTCCAACTGTTCATTCTTCTAATGCCTGTCTCCGTTTCTTGGCGTTAGGCGTTCCTTGGCCTTCCTCTTTTCCCTTGACCCTGAGGGTTCCAAGTGAGAGCTTGTCCTGTGACGCAGTTGATTGCTTTTGATAATGTGAGGCCTATCCACTCTCAGCGCTTATTCCTCCTCTAGAATCTAGTTTGTTTGTTCCCACAGTAAGTTGCTGATGATGGTGGCTGGCCAACGGATCCAAAATATTTTGCGTAGAGACTTGTTATTAAGTACACCTATCTTGTTGATGATGGCTTTCATATTTCTCCAAGTTTCTGCACTATGCGATAGAACAGCCTTGACGCGCGTGTTGAAAATTGTGACTTAGGTGTTGGTTGATAGTTGTTTGGAGTTCCAGATATTGCTCAATTGTAGAAATGCAGCCCTTGGTTTGCCGATACGCGCCTTCACATCTGCATCGGATTCACCTTTATTGTCGATGATGCTGCTTAGATGTGTAAAGGTGCCAACGTCCTCCAAGGCATCTTCATCAAAAGTGATTGGGTTGGCGCACTTTGTGTTGTATCTTAGAATCTTGCTTTTCCCTTTATGTATGTTAAGACATGCTGCTGCTACGCTGGTCTCCTTCTCCTGCATTTATTGTTGCGTGTGCGATAGAAGAGTCAGATCATCTCGAAGTCTAGATCGTCCATCTTTATTCGATATGTCCACTGTATTCCGCGCTTCACCTAAGATGTTGACTTCTTCAAGAGAAAGAGGATCAGAACAAGCAACCTTTTGTGACAGCGGTATTTACTTCAAACGAGTTTGTGAGCTGTCCTCCACGCATGATCTCGCAGTTTAATCCATCATAAGAATTCCGTATGATGTTGACTATCTTCTCAGGCACGCCGTAGTGTCGAAGAAGCCTCCATATTGTTTTCCTGTCCACGTTATCAAATGCTTTCTCGTAGTCAAGGAAGTTGATGTAGAGTGGTGAGTTCCATTCAATTGATTGTTCCACAATAATCCGTAATGTAGCAATCTGGTCAGTACACGATCGATCCTTACGAAATCCAGCCTGTTGATCTCGAAGTTGGGTGTCTACGAAGTCCTTCATTCTGTTTAACAATACCCTGTTGAAGACTTTGCCTGGTATTGAGAGAAGAGTGATGCCTCTGTAGTTTTCAGACTTGCTGAGATCGCCTTTCTTTGGTAATTTGATCAGTTATCCTTCTTTCCAGTTTTTTGGTACTTGTTCCTCATACCAAATCTTGTTGAAGAGAATGTGCAGTGTCTTTACAGTTACTGTTACTTCTGTTTTCATTGGCTTTGCTGGAATGTCGTCTGGTCCTGCTGCTTTGCCGCTCTTGATTTTTCTGATGGCCATGCTGATCTCTTCAATTGTAAGTGTGCCAACATCGATTGGGAGGTCCGTAGATGCCGCTTCGATGTTGGGTGGGTTCAGTGGAGCTGGTCGATTCAGGAGTTCCTTAAAGTGCTCTACCCACCTGTTTCGCTGTTCTTCAATGTGGCTAATTACTTTGACTTCCTTGCGTTTCACTGTTGTTTCTGGTTAACGACCGTTTCCAGCGAGCTTCATTGTTGTATCGTACAATTGTCTCATGTTTCCTTATCTTGCAGCCTTTTCCGCTGTCATTGCTAGATCTTCTACATATTTAATTTTGTCAGCTCTGTTATTGTTCTTCTGTGTATTCAGATAGTACCTTGGCTATCGCTGCTCTCGTTCGGCTGATGTTGATTGCTGTCTTCTTGAGTCATATTCAGCGTACCAACAGTGATATATTCCTTGAGGTCCAGAATTTCATGACATGTTGAAGTAATTGTTTTCTTGATCTCTTTCCAGTTGTTCTCTTAGGTTTGATATTATTTAACTGTGGGATATAGTAGACAATTGAAGAGCAGCTACAACACAGTTATTCTGCTTCTTAGTGTTGTATCCATTAGTCTAGTTACTTGGCACAGAAATTAATCAGTGGAATCCATTTTTAGCACCACAGGTACAATGATGATTGACTTTTTCCCCTTAATCAATCTTAAAAATTGGAAGGTGTTGCCTATTGCCGTTACCTGTACCAAATTTCTTTACTTGCCCCGATGGCTGACATTTTTGTGATTAATTATTTATGTACTGTTTGTTCGTCATTGAGGTTAAAATACATTGGAACGAGTTTTCGAGCAACTATCAATGAAATGAAAACTCAATATTCATCGAACTTTCTGAACGTTTTAACCTGAGCTGGCTAAATATATCACTAGTGTACTTATACAACCATTAAGGAACAATAGTGATAAATATATATCGCAAGTATGAAAATAAGCTATATTCGACTAGACATAGTCTGGTCTCATTTTTTGATTTTCGTAGTAATGACTGATTTTAAGCTCTTGTTAAGGAATGAATAAACTAACAAACCTCCGCAAGTGAGCACTAAAGTTTAGTATACGTAGATCCTATTGATAAAATCAACGTGTTGGCTACCAAGAACAGCTGTTGGTCTGGACAAAACATGGCATATAACTAAACAGGATATAAACCACAAAGTTATTAACCCTTTATCTTTGGCGAATAAACAAATGTCGATCAGCAGTTATCGTCCATAAAAGAGTACTTCCTTCATTGAAGATAAAAGGAAAAAACAATCGAAGATCTAAATTGAAAGACAATAAATAAGCAAACTATTACTTATCACATGACATACTTTATTTATTTATTGACCAACTGGCTTTAAATACGTTATAATCAACAACTTATATGGTAGAGATATAAAAGCTCAAAATAGTTTGTGTTGGCGTAGATGCATCCATTCCTTGTCTTCTCTCAACTTCTAGTATTCTGAACTCCTTGTGACCCTTTTTTCGCTTTTTAAATTTATTTCATTGGGTTGCACTGCTCAAATTACATCTTTGATCCCTAACCTTTTCCATTACCAGTTATACTGATACAACCTCTACTACTATTGGATTTGGACTGACAATTTCATCTCTCTGTGCTAATGTGGCATGGCAACTTGAACTGATGTGCGTACGTACCAAATTCTACGTTGCAGCTGACTGACTGGCACTGTTAAATTTAACCATGAATAAACCACAATGGATATAGTTCGACATAAAAATTAATCAATGAAGCTACATAACAAATTCAAGAGGTTGCATGCATACTTAGAAAAACTATGCCTAAAATCAAGCCAACTAGAAACAATGAATTTTTGTTGAATGACCGAAACGAACAAAAATAGAACTAAATACATCATCTAGTAAGTAATAACTACTCGTGAAATACCTTTAAAACTAACAAAGTTCGAAAAAGTATGCTTTACTAAGATTTAACATGTTAATAGCTACTCACAAAAGCAGTGAAACAATAACAAGATTGGATTAAAAACGTGAGATGTGAGTGGTTAAGATCTGGTTCAAGTTTATACACTGTGCATTAGTCAACACAAACAGAATAAAACTAAATGCCAAGACAATCTCGAAGATATGCAAGAAGTAGAACAGCACAAAGTCTTGAACTATTGCGATCAATCATGAAACATACTACATGGAGTCAGGAACAACTGACTTGCGTCACTTGTAGAATAGGCCTGCCAACTGGAGGGTGAGTATATTGCATACATGTTCTTTTTGTATTGCTCTATGAATGTGATACATGGTCTTTTATAAGTAAGAGACAAAAGTGTGGTGCGTCTTTTTGACCACCAATGTCTTTGAAGTACTGCTACAGTATTATGGAAGGACTGAGTGAGCATTGTTGAGGTGAGGTCTGAAGTATTAGGTAAAGATGGAAAATCAGTTGAGGTTGTGAATTTTCGTTGACTTTACAACATATACTATGAATCTCCAACTACCAAATACTTTGACGGGTGATATTAGCTGAGGTAGGAGTAGGTTGGAAGAAAGCTAAGGAAGCCCAAACCAAGATGATTCGTTAGTCTACGAAGTCACTGGGTGTTAGACTGAACCATGCAGGCAGATACAGACTACTTGTTTGAAGTCAGCTTGATTATCATAACCGGTGGTTGGAGGACTTGGGAGACATACTTCAAAATCGATGACTTAATCTGGAGATCCCTTTATTTTCTTGAATCATATTCGGCATTCACATAACTGTCTGTTAGTCTCAATGGTACCATTAGTGCTTCTACCACTCTGGCTTCCATGAAGGTAATTTCCTCTTGCTGTGTAGTGACTTGGATCGATGCCGATACATGCCATAATCTATATAGTACATGTTTGACTATAATATTTAGTAAGTAATATTTACTAGCATTCAGTAAAGAAACATAGAAACGTAATGCAAACTCTGAAATCTTGTTATGTTGGTTTATTTATATAAATCTGTGTCCATAAATTACTTGAGATTCAAAGTACTAACAAAAATTTACTTTATAATCAATAAAATAGTGCGTAATCTTCGTTGTTTTTCCATCAGCATCCGTTTCCAATTGCAATTTCGATTTAATAAATTGATCACATTTTAGCGTGTGCAGATATTGTCTCAGTTGTTTTCTTTCAAAGCGCAGTCTTTCACATAAGTCATCTTCTTTCATAATTGTGTTGCGAACCTAGCAATCATAGAAGAAATAACATACACTTTCAAAGAGGGGCTAAGCACTTATTCTCGAATAATATTTTTCATAAAATAGAAACAAAATGACTAACAGTGTTGCGATTCCTATTCTATAATTTTTAGCAACTAGATAAAAATGTATAAACTAGTGAAAATACAAGTGATTAATAACACAAATGTGTCAATAACACTAGCCAGTTTCCGATCGCAGCTGCTACCTTAACGGGGTGATGTGGCTTGTTAATCATGATGATCCAACCGAGCTATATTGACTGTAGGTTGCACCATGCCAGGCATGTCGATTGGACAACGATGAGACTAAAAGCATCTACTTAAGGTCCGAGGGTGGAGTCGCACCACTGACTGTAGAGGGGTGTGAAATCAGTAAGGTGTTTCCCTCGGACAACCAGCATCTGCAGCGATGCTACCTTCTCACAAGGAAGGAAGGAGTTAGAAAAGGTTGACCCTAAAAATGTCACACCTCACCTTACCTCACGGATTCCCGTCTCTGGCGGCAAGGCGATTTAAAGAGCGGAGTTAATACGTCGACATACTGAAAAATGCCGGTCGCAAGCAGTTGTCCGTTGGGCCCTGCAGTCACGCTTCAAGGTCTGTGAGACCAACACTAATCCAACTACTTTTTCAGATTCCTCAAGAAATACGCTTCCGCGGTTTGGGCAGCCGTGAAGTAACATGCAAACGATTCAAGTACGCGAAACGTTATTCCTGGTCTCTTGAAACCACACTCTAAACTACATGTTGGAGCTTTTAATGTCCCGACCTTGTGACAAATAGGACAACAGGATTTCTTAGCTAGGACCCTGGAATCTCGTGCTATCGATGAATGCTACGCCTCGTAAAAGCACATATAAAATCCAAATACAGTGATTAATTTGATCTCAGCATCTAGATTCACGCTCCGAGTAACTGGGAGCCCCATTGCTGCGTTCCGTGGCCTCGTTGGCGTAGGTATAGCATTAACTTCTGAAGCAGTAGTTCTCTTACACAGTCGCTTGTGCTCTGTACGACTAAAAAGAACATTCGCCGTTGCCTATCGGTTGTCTCTGTTTACTTTAACACAGACTGTAGCTCAGATGAGGTAAAACACTAGTTTTACAGGTGGCTCTCGGACTTCCTCCAAAACGTTGGGCGCTCTGATGTAGTAATAGTGTCTGTTAACTTTGATGCTCAAGCAGGTAAACCAAGTGAAAAGGAGAGACACCTGGGTGGACCTTTTGATGTCATGGCTAAAACAACAGATAGTGGCGACAGCCTGTTGCAGCTATGCTCAGGTAATTGCCTGTTTCTAGCAAATACTACATTTAAGTCCAAGGAAAAAAATCTGTTCACATGGCAACCCCCAAATTCGTCACAATGCTGGAACCAACTAGAGCACATCGCAATCAGTACCAATGAAGAGGCTTGTTGGAAGACTGACGCTCGCTCAGGAACACACCTTTAGATTTAGGTCAGGCTCCAGCACGAGCACGTAGTTGTTTGTCTTACTGGACGTAGGAAAAACGATGTGTATTAAACTCTTGGGGTTTTACTTAACGATAGGAAAGCTACGCATATATTTCAGCAGCAACTAAGTGAACCTCACCTCGAAGCAGCTTGGAGCGATAGCCAAAAAGCTATGAAAAGACCAGTGATTTCTGCTAGAAAGGTAAACCATAAGGTTGAGGAGAGGCTGTGGATCTCAATAACATCTAACAAACTGATAGATGCTCGGAAACACATCCCATTTGGCTCTGAATATGACGAAGAACGGAGTAAGCTGAAGCGCAAGCTGACAAGAAGCTTTTGATTACCCACGACCTCAGGTTAACCTGATTGGCAAATCGATGTACGTCCTCCAACTCTCAATGAAGTTGAAAAAGCTATTAGAAAATCTGAGGCGAGGGAGAGCAACAGGTCGTTACAAGCTTGTCCGTGAGAGTCTTACAGATGGTGGTCCAGTTTTAGCTGTCAAGTCAACTGAGATCTTAGGTAGAATATGGGGACTGGTTGTAATTCCACCTGATTGGTCTCAATCAATCATCGACCCAATCTGTAAGAAAGGATATAAGTCCTCTTTAAACAATCACTGGGGAATCATAGTATCTAAGAAATTGGCTTCAATAATACTTTGATGACTAGCTGGAACTGGTGAGAGCACACTCGAGCAAACCAGGCTGGTTTCAGAACTGGACATCTGTATAGACCAGATATTCACACTACGTCAGGTCCTTGAACAAAGACACAAGTTCACACGTCCCACAGTTGTAGTATTTATCGAACTTAAGGCGGCTAAGGTGACTAAAGATCATTAGTCAATCACTCATACGCAACAAAAATTCTGGCGCATGTGTACAAAAGTTCAAGATGTTTCAAGACGAGAGACGAATGTCAGATATATTTCGAAATGTCTAACAGATTTCTTAGGATTCGAAATAGTATGAGTAAGATATAAGTGGTCATCAGGTCAGAGAAGCTTCCGTTATGTCTTAAAGATTTTGCGCATGTTTAGGTGATTGTTAGAGTATAGTTGTAACCAGTGGTCATCATTACATTCTTAGAAAAAGTGTCAAGGGCTCCATTTTATTGTCCTAGCCTATTGGGACAGAAGTTGGAAAGCCTCTGGTGCAATCTGCCACTTACTTTGCTTAGGCTAAAGTCAATAGGAGTGCAAGGAAACCACGGGCGATTAACAGTGCATCTTGACGCTCTTAAGTTTGCACGATTCTATTCAATCAGCTAAACAAGTGCCTGTCGAATGAAATCTAGTTCAAAAATGTTATTCCCATCTTTTGACTTAATGATGTATTTACATTCCACTAGCCATGATTAGTCGTTTTACGGTTTCCATATGCCTGAGGGGTGAGTTGTGTTGGTCAAATAAATGGTTACTTGGGTCTTATATGGAGTGGTACTGTATACATCTGTGGTACATGATTGCGGGATTCTAACTGATAACAGCTGCTAGGGGGCCACTCGTACAGCCTTTGACCTAGAGATCTGATCTACAAGGCAGTGGAGTAACGTTAGATGTAGCCTCATGGTATTACTGCTACTTCATTTTAAAACAAAGATCTGTATAAGTAGATACCAAAATCTGCATACACTGCATAATAAAAATGAGATTGTGAAGAGATAAAGAAAGAACGGTGAGTATAACGAAAAAATGAATAGAAATCAGTGAAATAATGGTGAGAGAAACAGATCAATTAAGGAAAGTACTATCAGAAAGAATTCTTTCAGTCAAAGAAGTTCCTCTTATGCAAGGAAAATAAAAGAAAGTTACAACAGAACCACCAGTGGTTTCTATTTTGAGCCATGTCTGATAACGTCTCAAGCCACTAAGTTGCATCAGGGAGTCGTGAAGGACCAACAGATGCCAGTCCTGTACACCCTTCTTTCATGCCCTGACCATTTCCTCGCTTTTTCTAATTACTCTCAGACTGGTAAATAATGCACAATGTGTCATTCTCCGGGACAACATTCGTAGTACGTGTCCGAGCCGCAGAAGTCGGTGTCTCAATATAGCGACACCTATTGAGTTACCGTCTCTGTGCCCAAGCACACGTTGCCGAAGATCTGCATTACTAACATGGTGTTGCCACTAGATGTCAGTAATCCTTCGGAGACAACGGTGGTCGAAAAAGAAAGCTTTCTAATATCTTCAACTCGGAGAGACCAGGTTTCACAGTCATAGAGCGAAACTCCTCTCGCCGACGCATTGCAGACCCAAGCTTTTACAGCCAGACTAACATCACGAAGGCGCTAAAGATGAACCAGATTGGCGTAAAACGCTTTAGCTTTCATTATACATGAATTTATCTCATCGCTCACACCACCGCCAGCACTTACACAGCTACTCAGGCACGTGAACTTTTCGACTACTTCTATTTGCCAGGAGTGAGAGCAGGTTTAGGAACTTACCAGCCTTGTTGAAGTGCTTTGCATTTCCATGGTAGTCGGTGTCTAAAATCCTGGAGCCTGTGTGCACCACTCGTTTGGAATCATGGTTTTCCAACTCCCCTAGGTGGATCTTTTGTGCCCATTAATCCGGTTTAAGGGCTAGATATCCATTTTCCGTCCACCCAACTTCGTAGACAACACCCCTGGCACGAGAAGGCAGCGAGTAGGACTACCCTGACAGTGGCCATATGTATGGGCATTTGGGGATTACAGTGGAAGGATATTCACTCTCGGAAAACCCGACAAAGGAACTAGACGTGATGGTAATTTTATCGAATTAGGAGAGCGGCAGCATACGCCGAAAGACAACTGCTTGAGTTCGGTCACAAGAGGACTTCTAGGCTTTTTAATGAAGTCTTCATAATTTCTACTTCCTGAGGATGGAACTCAGTGAGATATGTTACGTCTGTAGTTTCCTCCCTCGAAAGTGGGTAGACAGTGTCACCACAGGTGCACTGTGAGGAAGAAGTGGTTGACGGTTCACCGAGATACAATCAACAGCATGACTCTTCACTAGAATTCCTTTACTATTTAATCGATATTAGAGGGACGAAAGGACTTAGATAAGCGGTCCGGCTGAGATATCCCGACTTGTCTGAGACATCGAAATGATGTTTACATTTCGTACGGATACTTCTCTCTTTCGCAGTTGAGATCAAATAAATAAGTCACTGAAATTACTAATAATTTACGAACATGAAGACCGAGAATCATTATAAAAATATAGTAATTACAAAACCACCACAGAACTATATATCAACTCTTACCAGCATATCGACGATGAGAGAATGTTCTCTTGAATAGAAAGTTCTAACAATGGACCGGACTAATCTTATTAGACATATGGGTACTTTAGTTGAATCCTTTTGATTCGATGTAGTGTCAGCTGCTTGGCGAACAGAGCTAGTTGGTGGAAGTTTTACTACAGCGGGCGATGAATCTGGAACTGTGTTTTTAGCGCCATTAGAAGGCGTTGGAATAGAACAATTGATGGTTGTCGACATTTAAAGCAATCCTGTGTAAAATCAAGGAATTCTCGGGCATGAAAATTGATATTCAGGTATGCTTTAAACATTACAATACATCGTTACTAAATCCTTATAAGATCAATTAGAAACAGGTTATTGGTTTAGTTTTAAAAAGTTATGGGGACTGGTGAACTGTTTTAGTATATTTCAGTACAAATTCAACTCTTGGTTGTCACAATGGAGTGCCACACAACGGAATTTCCACACATTGCTGCACGACCAATGAAAGTGGAAAATATCACACGCACTTTGTAGCCTAAAAACAGCGTCAAGGAGCAAAGAAATCACAGTAAGGACGAACAGATGACGATGTTTGTTTTCATATATGTAAAGCTTCTTTTTGCATATCACAGTAAACTTTACGCTAACTACTATCAAAGGTTTACCTACTACATTTAAGTGGTAACTTCCAGTTTACTACAGATTTTTGGGCATATCCGACAACACACCTTGAATGTTGATATCTTATTAATATTCCCAACAAAAAATAACCGGCATCTCAGTATCCTAGTCAAGATGCCTCAAACATCAGAACCAAAAGACAGAGACTTTTTAACAGATAAGTACGCTTATTAAGTCAACATAAACTAGCCTCATCTTTATTTATAAAAACATGTGTAAGCGCATCAAATCAATGTTCATTAACACACCACAAAATTCTGAATATGGTCCTGAAAATCACACGGCTTAATGGCCCCAGACATTATCTTATTACTGGAGTTAGTCATGACTCTGAAATAGCGAGATGAACTGTAATGAACAAGGAAAGAGAGAATATTCAGTTCCAGAGCTTGTGTACTAATGAAGTAGATAATACAGCTTTCAAACCACACCTACTAAGGGAAAATTATCTACTACGGATGCCAACTCTCCCATTTGACTGCATATAGCGACTAGGTTAATGAACAATTGTAGTGGGTAACACTAGATGTAATACTGCTCAGAGATTTGGTAATTTCGTTCAATTGCTGGGAATTTAACAAGATTAACAAACGATCCTGAAGTGATCACATAATATATCCCATTATCTCAAAACTAACTATTAGTGTTAGTAGTTGCACAACACGTTTTTAATGAAATGATTTTGTCTTCTATATCTAAGCCGAATAGTAATTGCCGTGAAAGACGGCTCAGTCGGTCCTACTTAGCCATTGTATGGACGTTCCTATTTGGTTTTCGTCAAACATATGTGCAGCGTACCACTCCGTAGACGTAATAATAACTTTTGTGGCCTTTGACCAATATAGCTTTTTAATGGAAAGGATACTTTCTACACATAAGTTGCAATAACGCCCATTATTGGACCCTGTTCATAACGGAATTTGAAACGCACAAGACATACAGATATATCTGATAGTTAGGAAACGCACTGGCTGAATAGTTGATCAGTATCGGGGTGAACATTAGTACACAAACCCGTTTCAGCCAAATCTTCATAAGTACCGCGTGAAAGTGAGCAAGTTCAAGCTGAAAGAGAAACGTTCGACTTTGAAGCTCCCAACATCCAATATCCAATATCTTTTTCACGAGTTAGTATAAACTAGTTGATTTCTTTGCGCTCAATTCTTGTTCTTTCGGCACGATGTCCGGTTTTTGTTAGTGTCCAACGAATATGGGTCTAGCCGCAACTGTCTAATTCTGGACAGTTGGCAGTTGGTTGTGAGTCTGTATGTCTCGGGTTTTGAATGAAAACATTTGTTTCAGGGCAGTATGGTTTCTGGATACCAGTAGCTATCACATTGCCAGATCGGGGATCAGTCAGTTGCACTGTGGAGAGTAATAGTCAGAAAATTCTGATAATAATAATAAGATTTCAGAACTAAGTAAATCAATAGATAAATTTGTTTATTAATTAGTAGTGAAGATTGTGAGAGAGGACAGAAGTGTAAGCAAAGGAGAGTAAACAGAGATAATAGGCGGGGTTGATTAAGTTAGTGATCTGAGATGGCAATGATAACAACTAGCAGGTCTCAAGATATGCATCATGCATAGCTTGTCCAAGAGGGAGATGATAATCCGTAGGTAAGTACGTGATTATCAAGTCTCTTCTTAAAGCTGTCCACTGAGGGGGCTGTGGTCACCTCGGCTGGGAGAGCATTCCAAGTTGCGACGACTTGCAATCAGAATAAGTGTGCACGAATCTGAGTATTCTCTCTTTGGTGTGCAATCTTTCGAGGATTGCCTCGAGTGGAGTGGTGGTGATGCATCTGTAAGATGCTCAACTTGGAATAGTTTGTCGCGCTTAATATATTGTACGCAATAATCGGATCAGTTCTGATCCCCCTGTGACATACTGGGAATAATCCCAAGAGGTGTGGACGCGCGTATGTCCTAAACAAGGTTAAGAATAATTCTGAGGTGATAGCAATAATTCGTCTTGGCATAAGGTGAAGAGTCACATTTTCCCTGTCTGCGTCCTCTTTATAGTTCGGACTCGTCTGAAGGCTTTCTGTGGTTATTAAACCGAGATCGCGCTCTGAGGAGACATTAGGGAGCGGACTTCCATTGAGAGCGTAAATCGTTTGGGCCATGTGGGACAGAATATGCATAACGTGACATTGCGATTGGTTGAGCCTTGAGCCGTTTTTCAATGCCCATTCCTCAATAGATGTAAGGTCTTTTTGAAGCTCAGTCAAATTCCCTTCGCTTCTATTGGATTTTCGCATTGTCTGTGTAGATCAAAGCCGTTGAGCTAAGTGAGCCTAACAAATCTGTAATAAATATCAGGAAGAGGAGTGGGCCTACGATGGTCCCCTGTGATACTCCTGATTTGGATACTCGCCAGCTCGCGTGCACTTTATTTACCTTGGTACGAAACTTTCTATTCTCAAGGTAGTTTCTGAGCCAAGATACGAGTGGGTCAGTGTGTGTCGAGGGTTATTGCAAAGTCGAGAAATATTACGTGCACCAGTATTTTCCGGTCCAAACAGTGTAGAATCCATTGTGAGGGCTTTGTTTTGCGAAAATCCCACCATGTTCATATTTGTAATATGTTCGTACTGACTGACTCTTTCTGGCTACATTTTGGATGGTCTGTTTAATCCCATTTCGGGATGGTAATATTTGTATTTTTTCATAGCTTCTATTTTCTGTACCTTTATTGGAGTTTTTATGTTTCCTACTGAACAGTATTATGTTGTTTAAAATGATAATTAGTTATGGCTTTAGCCATATAGGATTTGATAACTTGGCGAGTAAAACCTGCATCTGAACTGGAAGGATGCAATTCCGAACCTAAAAGGAAGCATTTTTCCAGAATTGGAAACACATTGTGTAATATTGTTTAGGTAAATATCTATATTTCCTTTTTTGATTAATGATAGAACCCAGATAAATCGCCTTCTTTTTAGATTAACTGGGAAAGGCGTGTATCTAAAGTTCTAGAACTGTTTTTCCGAAATCAGAATCCACTATGGATTCTACAATCAAGATGTTCAACTGTCGCATGCTATGAGAAGATTAGATGCACACGACCTGCTTTTCCAAAACCCATGTTGAGCTTCATGGCGTATTTTATTCTTATCCATGTACTCCCTCATTTGTTCGTCCACCAACCCTTCCATTATCTTTGATAGTGTTGGTAGCAATGCAGCTGGTCTGTAACAAGCAATGTTCATCCCATCCCTTCTTTTGAAGATCGGAGAGAGAGTAGCTTATTTCCATTCATCTGGGAGTTGATAGGACTCCAGTGAATGCCTGAACAACTCATATATTGGTGAATAGAGGACTTCTGCACATTATTTCGAAACAACGGTATGAATACTCAATTTTGTCGCAGTGATTATAAAGTATGACAGTGAAAATAATTGAATGTGTTCTTCAATATATTCTGGTAAAGAACTAGATGTATGAGAACACAAAATTCCAGAAAAGGTTTCGTCCTTAAGGTTAGTCGTCATTTACATTCATACTGGTGGTACTACTCCGGTATCCAAACGCTCTGTTTTCATAAAAATATACTGAGAATATGCTTTCTCGCGAGGCTTTATGGCTGTATTTGCCTTGTTGCGTAATAATGAGTTCGTTCCTGATACTCTGATAGTTGCACGGTTCTAGTTGTTTGTGTTCAACTAGGCTTTTGAGAATATTTTACACTTTTCTTTAACCGTCAATTCAACCACATATACCATTCTAGTTTTGTTTACTCTCTGTGAATTGTCACCAAACTGTTCTATAAAATTCTCGGTTTCTATTGTTTTTTATATTTGATTCAACTTCGACTACTATATTTCATTTAGACCAAAGTATTATTCCTGGATAAGATATTCGTTTGCTTCGAACTCTTACTGCTGTTGACCATGCTCCCTAATCTCATTGTATATATATATATATATATATATATATATATATGTACAAATATATATATATATTAATATAAATCCATTCACTGGAAGCGATCGTGTCATACACAGTAATCTTTGGAATTTTTGACATATTCAACTGTTTAAGTGTCGTTTGGCGCAGCAACATTTTATCTCTGTAAATAAACCCAGATATACGAGCCAATTTCGTCAGTTCATTTATTCAAATTTTTGTGCAACCTTAGTATAATTTATGAATAATGAGTTACATATTAACTGGTTTACATGTCAATAAAACTTTTATTGTTTTACCAATATTGCGTTCATTTGGAGATCTATCTTTACTGGTAACAAAATCTAGGGGTTCGCAATCCTGATATATATCATTGAAGTGACAGTAAAATCCTATTTACACTTCTTTAGCGTAATTTCAAGAAATGGGATGATCAAAGTTGCTTCGTTGTCCAACCGAACGGATAGCCTCAAGCCACTAGACTCCAACACCCTGTTGGGACCGGAACATGTATGACGAGAATATGTAGCAGTAGTGTTAGTGGGACCTAGATGGAATCAAAGGAGAACTACGTTGCTGCGCGCTAATTTCCTATCCAATCAGAGCTCCATCGATTCTTGGAGAACAGGGTAGAAAATTCTCGTATTGTTAGGTGCATGCCGACTGCCTAAACCTAATCCAGTCGATCATGTGAATTTCTATCCAGAAGCTTCTCATGTAAATGCTATAAATATGTAACGTTGTATCTATTTTTGCCTTCGCCTACGCCATCACCTTTGGCCTTGTTATTCGGAATATAATCTTTCCCTGTTCAACCGTGTTTTTGATTCTTTAGAACTTGTCCATTGTATTGTGGTCAGAGAATACTAAGCAATAGGATTTAGCTTGGAAACATTTAAGCAAGCGTTACAACAAGTAGATTAGTTGAAAAACGACTGTTTGATCGGACGTGCGTGTCAGGGATTTTTCACCAAGAAGCTTGTACTTTTTACAATAGTAGGAACTGACGTTTTGCGATCTTACGAAATCTTATGTAAAATCAGGTTGTCTAAACACATATATACTGATCGCAACTTTTCCATCAAAGGAACATTAGGTTTTCTGACCTAAACAAACCGACTCAATACAAATAAAAGCAATTAGTTGTTTGGGCCTTTCCCCATTATATTAAGGAAGTTTGGCAGTCCATTTAGGAAAACAGAAGATCGGAGATTATGTGAAGAACTTTGGTTTCACCAAAATGAACTATCCATTAAATCGGATGCTTAGTCATGCGACAAAATGATACAAACTTCAAAATCATGATGTACCACTTTTGAAAGATTCTTAAACAACAAAAGCAGTTATACACCCTGAGCAGAATTCTTAGTATGAAGACAAAAGGTGTACATAGGATTTTCTAGTTAGTATGATCAAACTAAAGTATTTCCGTAAAACTTATTGATTTAAACTTATTTGACCAATTTATGTATAATAATAGAAAGTAGACAATACTATATGCACTTCATATTCAACTGCGTAAAAGTAGTAGACTATGAAACGTGAAAGTGATAATTCGGATCAGGTTTTTTGAGATACGAATGAGTGTTCATGGAAAACCCCAAGGATCAAATGAATCCTTCATACTCTCATTCAACTACACCACTGTTATCATACACCGAGCCAACTACCTTTAAAATAAAAATTTCATGGCCGCAATCGATCAGTCCTGAACGTCAATGGGAAAAGATCCAAACAACCAATACAAGTGGATTAATTTTCACCCTATTGTACAAGCGAGTGGCCATCTGGATCCAGTAGCTAAGTGGATAATGCGGTGGCTTTTGAAGCGAAAGGTACTAGGTTCGAGTTCTAGAGTGCAGGCGAGTCCAGCTGACGAGTCGCGAATAGGGAAGAACGTGCGTCCTAGATTCAACTGCTAGCCAACACCCACCTCCACTTGATCCAGTGGTATATGAATTAGTAACTAGCTCATAAAACAGATTACCACGGAACTTCATAGTAGACAGAAGTATTACGCGACTATCCAAAAGATAGTTGCTGCATTGAGATTCCCCATTCTGACTAGTGGTTTGAAAACTCAAGACTCAGGCTAAAAATCTGAGCATTAAACAAATAGTAGAGAATACACCGGAATTAACTGTTCCTGTCCGATTAGAAGACTTATTGCCACGACTATATAAAGTCA